TTTGTATGTAAATATTATTGACTGCTTGGCCGCTTGATCAGAACCAGAAACGTATGTGTAACAGACCATCTGGGTGTTCAAGGGGCCGTATGTGGAGGGCCACACAGAGGCTACGCTCACACCCAGTTCTTTGGACTGTTTGTATGTAGATGTAGCAGGACTGGTTGGTGTCTCAACCAGTTGATCGGCCAGCCTATCACACATATTAATCAAACCAGCCCACCATCAAAACATATTACAGATGATAACAACTCTACTGCTTGTACTATAAGATTAATGCACACAATTTAATTTAAGACATTTAACTGCATGTGTGCGCGTGTGTGTTTGCACGGAATGTGTTTGTGCACATGGTTTACACGTGTGTAGGGTTAATCTACATACTAGAACTAACGCTGTTGCTATCAGCTTTGTTAGATTCTGAGAAAGACAAACAAGTTAACATATGAAGCTTCTATCATATATAAACATCTAGGATATTAATATAATCGATAGAAGTTCATACACCAACGAGCTTGGTTTATATTTAATCTACGGATTAATATTTAATTTAAGATATTTAAATTAATAGCAAAAGCTTATTTATTAAACAGAAGACTTAATAAGGTTCTTTGCTGATTCAATAACTGAAAATGCACACCATTCTGTGTTTCATTCAAAGAAGAGTCAGGTTTAAAAATTTAAGAATTTATTACTAACAATTTCAAATCTGACAACTTAAAATAGACAATTTATGAATAACAATTTATAAATGACAAATTTGAACAACAATTTTGATATTAAAACTTGTTATTAAAGCAACCCCTGTGTCTGGATGGAAAACTAAGTGGAATGATGAGGTTTGGATGCGTGAATGAAATCTCAGAAGCTTTCTTTCAGAGGGAGAACGCGTTCTGGGTGAAACGTTGGTTTTGCAGCTAACTGATGGTTTCTTAGAGAGAACAACATCGGACGCAATCTGTGTTCTACCTCACCGTTCAGACGACCCTCTGTGTGGATCTGGAGGATGTTGTCAGCCTCGGGGGTACTCAGGTCCGGCGGATGACCAAGGGTACCGACTTTCTCTGGTCCTAAATCAAATCAACTTTATTTATATAGCACTTTTCATACAAAAAATGCAACTCAAAGTGCTTTACAGATTAAAATGGCCCCATAGATCCCACATTCCCATCCCAGCCCCCCTCCCCAAGTATAAAACAATTAAAAATTACAGTTCCCCTCCCGCACCCAACTTCCAAAGTGGACATACAATCACCCGCACACACACACACACACACGCACACACACACACACTCGTGAACACCAGAGGAAACAATAGGCTGAGTTGCCGTGAGGTGCACAGGTAGATGTGGCTTTGCATCCGGGCAGATTCTTAAGGAATCTCGTAGTGTCAGCTGGTTATAGGTGCATTTATTCAGAGCTATTCTATCGGCGTGACAGAACGCTTAGTGAGGAGTCAGGCGGCCGACCCTTCTCCTCTGGGATACTCTCGTTGCCACGAAGAAGTATCAGCTTGGTTCAAGAACTGAACTTAAGCTGTGGAGCTTTGGTTTTAAAAAAACCTCAGAACACGCCCTCTCAGAGACAGGAAGCATGACTATGGAAGACATGTGAGGCAGTTACCTTGAAGTGAGTCCTGCATGAGGTGTAAACACGTGCAAAAGACCTTCTGGTTACTGAACACACATTACTGATTATCATAAATGATAATTATTAACCAAAGAATAATAAGTCATTTCATTAGTTAAAAATACATTTATAATGAACCATGATGATCATTTATGATGATTAAAGTAAACCTTATAATAAAAGAGTTTATTAAATTTTTTGATTAGAGTTGAAGGTCCTTCATCTCGTGATGGAACAGCAAACAGATAAACAGTCAGATTGAAGACGGTGTTATTGTAGACTATTCGGCTCCTGGTGGTTTAATCTGTGGATGGAAGTTACAGCTCGACCCAGCTGTGACCCAGCTGGAAAGTGTGAACTTTGCCCCACAAAATGAGGCCATTCATGATGCTACACGTGCGACCATCAAGAACAAAGTAGAAATTCAGCGAAAGAAAGCAAATTGACTACATATTAATTTGGTACAAGTGTGAACCTAGAGCCCCACGACTGTTATTATTTTCGGTACGGAGAGTGCTCACGCTAGATCAAACAATGGGCTGAGACAATGTCTTCCTCCAAACTTGAGTTTATTTACACACAATGCATAAAACAAGTTCTTCTGTTACAACCTCAACCAGGTCTGGGATCCTGGGAGGGATAACACAGGTACGTGAGTGCAAAAAAAAAGAAAAAAAAAGAGAGCAGTACACCAAATCACATTTGACAAAACAAACATTTTATCAACAAAAAGCGTCCCTCGTCGTCTTCCTCCGCTTATCTGGGTCTGGGTCGCGGGGGCAGCATCCCAACTAGGGTGCTCCAGACCGTCCTCTCCCCGGCCACCTCCACCAGCTCCTCCGGCAGGACCCCAAGGCGTTCCCGGACCAGATTGGAGATGTAACCTCTCCAACGTGTCTTGGGTCGACCCGGGGGCCTCCTGCCGGCAGGACATGCCCGAAACAGCTCCCCAGGGAGGCGTCCAGGAGGCATCCTGACCAGATGCCCAAACCACCTCAACTGACTCCTTTCGAGCCGGAGGAGCAGCGGTTCTACTCCGAGTCCCTCCCAAATGTCCGAGCTCCTCACCCTATCTCTAATGCTGAGCCTGGCCACCCTACGGAGGAAACTCATTTCGGCCGCTTGTATCCGCAATCTCGTTCTTTCGGTCATTACCCAAAGCTCATGACCATAGGTGAGGATTGGGACGTAGATCGACCGGTAAATTGAGAGCCTGGCTTTCTGGCTCAGCTCCCTCTTCACCACGACAGATCGGCTCAGCGTCCGCTTCACTGTAGACGCTGAACCAATCCGCCTGTCGATCTCCCGATTCCTCCTACCCTCACTCGTGAACAAGACCCTAAGATACTTAAACTCCTCCACTTGAGATTGGACCTCTCTCCCGACCCGGAGTTGGCAAACCACCCTTTTCCGGTCGAGAACCAAAAAGCGTCCCTACGGGAGATAAACGACAACACAAAATGGAAGAAGACTTGTTAAGACAAAAATGATATTCCAGAAATGTTCTGAGTAATATGGCCCTTTAACACTCGGCCTTAACATGAACTTATCTGTGCGAATACTGGGGATTCACCCAGAGAATCCAAATATGAGGCCTTACCAGAAACAAAGGGGGAGCAGACTCAACCAAACAGTAACCACCCTCAACAACATAACGACAAGCGGAAGTAAGGGAAGCCGGCCCCAAAAGAACATAACGCTTTCCCTAAGGTTACGTCCAAACCGTCTGGATAATACCATAGCTTTAAGAACTCCCCCGAGCCTCCAGAGTTCCAAGAGAAAAAAGAACATTGCTGGTGGGCCAGTTCTGGCTGACAGATGGGATTTGGGTGTTGGTTGTCTTATTTGTTGGGATGCACATTTTGTATCTGTGTTCTGTTTATGTGGCTTTACCTCAAAAGAACTTTGAAATCTCATCTCTACACAAATCTTATTTCACAAACCAGGAAAAAAATCTATCTATCTATCTATCTATCTATCTATCTATCTATCTATCTATCTATCTATCTATCTATCTATCATTTATCTATCTATCTATCATTTATCTATCTATCTATCTATCTATTTATCTATCTATCTATCTATCTATCTATCTATCTATCTATCTATCTATCTATCTATCTATCTATCTATCTATCTATCTATCTATCTATCTATCTATCTATCTATCTATCTATCTATCTATCTATCTATCTATCTATGGTTAATCATCAGTATGCTTTGTGAAAATAAGGTTTGATCACACATGTATTTATATGCTTATAATGAATCACCTGTATGTTAATCCCCATATTAATCATTTCAGTGTTCGGGTGTTACTCACGTCCCTTTGAACTGAACGATGCATATACCAAATGGATGACTCACCTGTGACTGGTACGTTCTAGCACTGAGTTAGACCTATATCTGATTTATGCAGGCTGATACTGCTAGAAGTTTCAGCTTGTGCTGAAGGAGATTCTCAACAGGCGAAGGCCAGGTGCAGACTAGACCATCTAAAAGCTGTTCAACGGGAAAAAGCCAGGGCGTAGGTCATCGCAGCCTTAGCAAAGGAAGATAGGGTAGGAAGCAGATGGGGCAATGTGTCTCCCATCTTATCTGGAGGAGGGAGTGAAAGCAGAGAGGGGTGTCAGTTACCGTGGCAACAGGTGATGGCCTTCAATAAAGTTAGGGAGGGGTCAACATGAAACTTTGCAGCATGAGAGGAAGAATCAAAAGGTGTACATCTTGTAAAATATTCAGATTTGTCACAGGGACTGGGGCGGCAGAATCTCTCCTAATGCATGTGGAAAATAAAGTGTGATGATTGCAACATAAGGCAACTTGTGGCTTACTTCTTGTCCCACGCCCTGGTTGTAACTGCCTTCTATAATTTTGAACATAACTGTAACAGAAATGTTGTGACTGTATCTTTTGCTGCCTCTTGGCCAGGGCTCCCTCAAAACTGAGAACTTTAATCTCAATGGAACCTTCCAGGTTAAATAAAGAATATAAAAATAAGTAAATAAAATGTGTTTAGATAATGAAACGTCAAAAAGGAAAATTATTTTACTTGTTTGTCAGTGCATTTGAAGAAACAACTTAAAATGTTATTTATTTAACCAGATGAGTCGATAGAGAACTCATTCTCATTTACAATAACGATCTGGCCAAGAGGCAGCAGCAACAGACACATAATTAGCTTTACATCAAAGAAAAACAAATGAGATGAAAACAAACTAGATTAAAATAAAGTAAATTACAAAATTATTATAACAGGTGTAAAACTAACTTGTCTTTACTTTAAGTAATTGTTTGAGGAAGATATCACATGTTATGTGTGTTTTATTAGTCCCATTCTGAACACACAGGTGTGTTTTATTCTGCTCCAGCAGGTGGCGCTAGTGCACCTTTACGCTGGTCACCGACCACCTGAAGAAGCAGGAACCGGAAGCTGCTAGCAGAGCTAGCTTGTTGTTCTGGTGTGTGAGGAGAACATTTGAGGCTCTGCAGTAAAAATGTCCACTTCAGTCTCTGGGAGAGTTGATCAGCTAAAGCGACTAACTGCTGCTGCTGCAGAAATCTTCTCACCAGGCTGTGGAAACTTTCTTCTCCTCCTCAACAACTTGGTGGAGTTCTTTCCAGAACCAGAGAAGATATTCTGCGGTCTTCGTGACAATCGGAGCTCCAGAATCAGGTTGTGGGTGAGAAAAGCTTTTCTCTAGACTTCCTGCCCTCTGGATCTGCTGCTGTTCCTTTGGCCTCTCTGAGAAACGCGCTCGTTTTGCTGCTTTCATCAGATTGAAGAGGTTCCCTCTATCAGACTCGCTCATCTGAGTTGGTCATGATGCAGGATCGCTGCTCGCTCTCTCATCCATCCTGCTCACACTCTCCGACGGAAAAGCCCCGAATCTGAATGTGACTCTGGAGGAAAAAGCGGTTAGCTCTACTCCGTGAACTCTGGTGACCAAAGGTCCTCTTTTCCAGACTGGATCTGTCCTCAGCTGATCAGAACCAAAGCGTTGGATCTTTAATCTCCTGCGTTGTTCTGAAGCAGCATCTTAATCAGCTCTCCTGCTTTGTTTCTATTGCAGCTGTTAGCTAAACACGGCCAAAGAAAACCTGCTACCACTTCAGGATCATCCATCAGCTGGGACTGATTCATCGTGTGTTCTTCACCACCTGGACCTGGACAGCATGGACACAGGTACTGATGGATGAATGAATGAATATATGGTCAGTCTATGGTGGGACATTACAGTGAAATTATGAGAATGAGGCTCAATCTTTAAAATAATGATCTGTATATGTTAAGCACTACTGGGGTTCTAAAACCCCCCAAAGCGTTTTACATCACAATCAGTCATTCACACACTGTTGTAGAACCTTGTAGTTTTAGAGTGATTAGATCTCTCTAATGAATGATTTTTGAAGCCAAGTATAGTTAAAGTCCCAAAGTCATCGTCACACACTGGTGAAGTTACGTCCTGCATTCGACCCGTCCCCATGGGGAGCGGTGAGATGAAGCTGTGGGAACTATTTGGTCTTCTGTCGGGTTTCAGTCACTACGAGAATCAGTCAGAGACAGGAGAGGTTTTCATCGTGTTCACAACCTACCTTTGTTGTAGCGTCAGTCACGCATCATCATTTGACCAATCACAGTTGGGGAGACAGCCTGCTGCAGACACGACGGCAGCGGCGCTGACAGCACGTATGACTGCTGTTGCTTCAGCACGTCGCTGTGGTTTAGAGCTTAAAGGCCCAGTGTGTAAAAACATTCGACTCTTCAGCGCCACGCAGTTCAGAGTAAGTATTGCAGCTCCGGTAGCCCACACTAGGGTTGGGCTGTTTTTCCGTTCGCCCATCATTAGTCCAGTAAATGACGATGGGCCGTGGTGTGTGCGTGTGACTGATTACGGTATGATTCACTGACTGATTTGCGAACACAGAAGAAGTCTAAACATGGATGTTTTTATGGATGTGCAGCACAAATTAGATTTTTCTTTTTGTTTAACTCACTCACTGCCAGCCGTTTCCTGATCAGAAAAGCTCTTCGCTGCCAGCGTTTTTCAGCGTTTTTACAGTTTTTTTAAAGGAGACATAACATGAAAAACCCACTTTTTTATCCATTAACACAGTGTGTTTCACATTTTAAGTGTCTAAGTGAGCAAAAAGGCTTATATTATTCACTGGAGTTGCTATTTAGATATTTAATAATTAAGTTTTGGGCATATTTGTCCACCCGTTCAGTTTTTCAAATTATCTATTACATCAGTAATTTATTTCGTCAGGATAACTACCAAATATGGTAATGGCCCTCGGCTAAACACAGAGCCAATCCGCCATTTTTTCATCTCGCTAAGATTTTTTGTAGTCCTATTGGAAAAATGCAGAATGTCTGGTTATTTTAGCCACACACAGCTCAAAACTGTTCCTCGTTTTAAGGAAGGGTGGTGTGGCAGTATTTAAACCCAGGAGCTGATGACACTACTGCTAAAAAAAGAACAGAAGAAAAAGTAGTGTGTGTGTGTGTGTGTGTGCGTGCACGTGCGTGCGCGCTCGTGGTTCGTTCGTGTCTCCTGTCTAGTAAGTACTGAGGGCTTCATCTATCTAAAAGGAGTCATTTTTATCTGAATGTGGCAGCACCGGGACACAGCAGCAGAGCGGTAAGCTTCATATCACTCTAAAATGTCGACAAACTTTACTTTAGGTTTACGGGCATTAGCAGCACTAAAGCGTTAGCATCCGGCTTGCTATCGCTAGCACAGTATGCTAGTAAAGTTAGCACCCAGATTAATGTGGATTTGGCTGATTTTCGTGGAATAAAACGTGATTTCTGATCAACGCCTTCTTTTACACCAGATGATAACCTCCCACTGATTGTAACAGCAGAGAGCCTGTGTGTTATTCTACATGATTGTGATGTAATCTTAGCATCCAGTAAATAAAGTCCCATATCAGCTAAAATGCAGCGTGACAAAGTCATTAAAGTGCGTCAACACAGTGGATTTAATAGAGTTTTAAAGAACAATCTCTGAGTGGAGTGAGGTTAGTTTTTTGTCTCACTGCAGATATAAAAACGAACTCTGCATCAGTCAGACGCAGCAAAGCTCACCGTCTGTATGAGCGTGAGCGTCGGAAAGCTGATAAAATCGGCTGTAAAATAATTAAAACAAAAGTAAAAATGTTCCTTTGCTTTTTAGAGTCCACATCCAGAAGACTGGAGTCGTGTTTCACTGACAGGCTGTCAGACTAAAGCCCTGATGAGCTCAGCTGGGACAAACTGGTCTGATGTTTAGGTGAAGATTGCTTCTCCAAGACCTTGAGATGCTAGTAAAAATAATTTAGCCAGCTTGCTAATGTTACTTTTCTTCTCCTCTAAGGAACACAGAACGCTCAGATGTTGGAGCTTAACCACCTACCAGTGTTGCCAGATCCAAAATCCCACAATATCGTACAGAGAGGCCTAAATGATCGTTTTTCAGTACAAATTATCGTACATTATAAATTTAATAATAACGTTCTATAAACGACTTCTCACTCCAATATAATATAACAAAGAAGGTGTTTTATATTGCCCTGTTTAAATAAACATCTTTAAAACCAGTAATATAATGCCTATAAATGTGCACAGTGTGTCGGCACCACTCCGACCTCCACGCATTGACACAATATGCACATTTGCGCAGTCTTATTTATGTCATTTCTACATAGGTTAAAAGCACGCGACAAAACATCACACCAGTGGAAAAACTGACCCAATAAATGACAAAGCAGCCTACTCACCTAGTTCCAGAGTCAGTTTTTGTAATAGACACAATAGCATAAACCTGTAAGCACTGAGGTGAAATCTGACTTCAGAACAGTTTAAAATTATGTAATGGACTTGGGAAAGCCACAGCGAAAGACGGTGTTACTAGATGCAATGTGAAATTATCGTACATTTGAGGATTTTTGAAACTATTGATCGTACATCGTACAGAGCCCAAAATTATGGTACAAATACGATAATTATCGTACATCTGGCAACACTGCCACCTACTGAGGAAGGAGACCCACCAGTAAAGAGACGGTCTGGACCAGACCAAAGTGAGTGATGACACACCTCAGCCACCCTCATCATTAAGAACACCTCACCCCCTGAATCACTCCGTCTGATGACAGCAGAGTGATTTATTTGATGTTTTACTTGTTTAGTCTGTTTAGAAATTATTGAATTACATTATTTTCTGTAATCGACCATCTGATCTGGATGTGTGCAGAATAACTTTCCCCAAATTCAGCAGCAGCTGGCCTGTAAAAACAGCTGCAGCATGTAGTAAGTCTGTCTGCACTGCTCTCTGAGCTTCCTTTCATAAGGAATCATTTGTATAATTTTAGTGTCACTATTTTATTACATTTGTAAGAATATGAAGTCACTGCAGCAACACAAACGTGACTATAAACATGAAAGCTAAAGAAACAACTTTCCTAAAGCTGCTTGTAAACAAAATATGTCACTAATGTTATTGTCTATCATTGCAGAATATGGCGATGACATCATGGAACTGGTCTTTGGAAAAGTTTTCCCTGAACCAACTCCGTTTCTAGATGAGGTAGAGAAGATCTGCATCTCACCAACTCTCTGGTCTCAGTATTCAGACAACGGAGGTCTCCCACTGTTATCCAGGACCAGTTTGAAGCCCACATACTGCCCCTCCCTCATCATCAGGAAACATCAATCCGTATCCTGAGGACAACAGAAGACGGCAGGAGGACAGGAACTCTGAGACCTAGACACCACCAGCACCGAGACACAAAGCACCTGTGTTCACAACGCCTGTTTAACTACTAAAGCCTGTTTATTATATAGTTCTACTTATTTGCTGTGAGGTTAATACTTAGAAAATTTGTATTTTAATGTAAACAATAAAAAAATCACTGATTGTATGTTTTCTTTTAGATGTAATGGTCCAAACTCAGCCTTGTAGACATTTATTGCATCCTGTAGGTAAATACACAGAACAGGCTCAGGTCCAGGATGACCCAGCATGCTCTTCTTCCATTCTGGCTGTTAGGGATTTTATCAATAACTCAATGCCTACTGATGTTTCCACCTAACGGTATTTATTTAGAATGCAGGTCAGATTTAACTATATTTGTTAGCAAAGCAGACTGATCTTGGGAATTTCACTGCAGCACTGATGTTCACCTCTCTGTACACATTAGAGAGAATTACCACTTTACAGCTAAACACATTTAATAAAGATATAGGCTACGCATTGCAGACAATAAAAACAAAGTTCTAAGCATTAGAATTATAATGATCACATTAAAGAACATTTGGAGGAATGTTCTTTATTTTTGACTAGAATCTCAAATCTTTAAATTAAAATGTAACTGCTTTTTATCCATTTTCAGCCATTAAGACACCCAATATTAAATAAGACTACTTATAAAATTATTAATAATTATATGTATGTATGTATATATATAGATAGAGATGTTAATAAAATATATTTTAATGGTGTTTTAATGAGCTGTATCATTATTTAAAACATTTTTTATAGAAATAAATAAGCAAGCAGCATTCCTTGTGTGTGTGCGCGTGCGCGAGCCTGCTCGCTTGTCTCGTCGGCCGTGACGGATGTGTGTGTGTGCGCGCGCGCACGTGCCTGCTCACTTGTCCCTCCGTCGGCCGTGACCATAGACTGTACATATACTGGACAATTCGATTCCATAGGCTTCAATAACACGTTTGTTGTCTATAATGGGAGGTGTCCACCACCGCCATTTTGACCGTGTCACAGGTTCCGTCCAGCCCAGACAATTCCATAAAAGGGAAGAGAGGAGGCGCTGAGGGTGTGGCTGTAAGGCTGGGCTCGAGTGACGACACCCAGGCGAACTAGCTACGAGCTAACCTGAAGCTAACCCTGGCTAACCCAAAGCTAAAGCGGAGGTGGGAGCCGAGCTAACGGATGTAGCCACCTAGCTTCAACCCAACCGGAGCTAACTGGAACACCCATCGACCTGAACCTCACACGGAGTTTAGGTGGAGGTTTTCTGCGCCTGTTCGTGAGAAGTACCTGGATTAAAAAAGTTTTAAATCCGTAAGTTTATAATTTATTTCCGTAATGAAAACATTTTGCTTTGAGCAAGTTTTCAGTACAGTTTTTTTCGGCGCTATCACTCCTGAGTCGCACCAGCCATTGAATGTATCATGAAGAAGAGAAAATATATTTAAGTCGTATTTTGGGGGGACATTTTATTATCTTTCTTACAAAATCCGAGACCAAGCGTTTCACATTGCAACACAAGCACCGGTAACCATAACAGAATGAACAGCCAGCAGAGGAGAGGATGGAGGTGTTTCAAACCCTCCCGGCCGGCGTGGAGAGCTCATTCCTGGGCTGGAGCCGGCCCTCAGCACCCCGCCACAGGCTCTAACAGATGCTGGCGGTGTTTCATATATTTCCAAAACGTAATACTTGTTTGTATCTTGTACAGCCAGCTAGCCTTTATTCTGGACTCAGTACAATTTACCAAAAGTAAAGAGACATTATACAGATGAAGTAAGCACAAGATAACTTACTGGAAGACACAGAGTTATCATCAGAACCAGAACAAGAGCCTGATAACAGTCATGTGAAAATAACAGTTAAAAAGTATGTATGTATAATAGAAATAAAAATATATTAGAATTAGTGTAACTCACTGTGATCCAAACAATAAATCAGCCATAGCTGATTAGTAAATATGACATGAGGTTTGGGAGTTTTTAAGTTTCATTCTTTTATTAAATTTTTTTTCCTCCATAGCCATTTGGATCATTGGGGACAGCTGAGTGAGGCGTGGTGCCCAGAGAGCTGCAGAGACAACCTTGGCCTCCCTGACGTCTGTGTCTCCTGGTTCGGTTGGGGCGGACCATCGACATACATACATGTGCCGACACTGTGCCCTGTTTTATAAAATGTAGTGTTAAAAATAAATGTTTTTGCTCAATTACTGGAATTTCTTTGGTTAAGACAAAAGTGAGGAATAATCATTTACAAGTTATTTGTACAACAGGCCCATTTTAAATCCCAACAGTTTCTTAGCAGACAATAGAAATGTGTTCTTTACTAACTTTACTTGGTTTGAAAATCTTACTAAAATAAACTTGAGTGCCGTATTGCAAAACCCAATCATACTTGTTATGTAAACATTAGCTTTGTAGATATTTTTTACAGATATATATTTGTGTGCAACAAAAACCAAACTTAAATAATTTGTCATTCTTTATTGAAAAACAACAAAATACAGGTATACAGAAGTGTGGGAAAATGATAATGTGAAAGTATTGCACTATAAATGAAGTGAGATGAGATGAAGGTGAGATGAAGGTGGACGCCAGCGGGCTGGACGCCGGACGAGGAAACCTGGAGACGGATCGCTCAGACAGGAAGGGAAGAGCTTCCTCTTACCTTGATGGAATTAAAGTTAGCCGTCGTCTGAACGCCCAACCGTACGGTCTGAGGTCAAAGGTCACAGGAAACACACACCAGTCAGCAGTCATACAGATGCATAAAGATAACTGTAGCCATGGCAACCAGCTGACATGTCCCCACTTTCACCAGCACCTGGTGCCTGCCGGGTCACCTGAATTCCTGTGTGATGTCAGCACGGTCGGCCGTGACTGCTGCCATCAGAGGTGACCTCTGATCAGCTGAATGAACTCACCTTCCAGGGTGACGCCGTGTTAAGAGTCGGCTTCGTCCTGTAAACAAACAAACAAACAAACAAATGAGTGGTAACATAAACACCACGTCTGGTTCTGGTTGAGGCGGAGGACAACATGCACCTTTCCAGGAGCAGAACCCAGATGTTCTTGTTGCTACAAACAGAGACGAGCAGAGTTAACAAACCAGGAAGTGAGAGGGACCAGCTGCTGCAGACAGGTGACGCTCACCTGAGCCTGAACCATAGGAGCCTCCTCAGCCATCAGACCTTCTGACTCCAGTTCAGATGCCACCTTGTTGATGTCCCTCAGGCGGGACTCGTTGGCCTTCAGGTCCTGCAGGACAAAAGCACCTGCTGATTATCTTGTTGCTGTCGGGTTAACAGGTCTGGTGTTAGAACGTGGTGGATAAGAATGTTCTGACGGGCCGAGGGCTCTGAACTCACCCTGCAGGACTGGGCCTGCTCCTTCAGGGCCTGGATGCTGCTGCCATAAGCCGACAGGTCCGACATCAGGGCCTCGTGCTTCTTCAGGAGAGCCTGTGGAGCAGAACATCAGAACCTTCAGCTCGTCTGACACAAGTGGAGCTTTCTCGCAGCGATGGTCCAATCGGATCCGCCACTGTAAAACAAACCCTGCTCAGTTCACCGCAGACGCAGCTCTGCGGGTGTTTAGTGGAAAAGCGTGAGCCTTCTGCCGGCTGCCACGTGTCATGGCTGCTCTGCAGCGGGAACACACATCACAGCTTGTAAACCGTTTGAAATAAGAGCGCCGGGAACACGTTTGTCATCACTTCCTGTGCGAGGCCAGCACTTCTACCCCTAACCCATGAGACGCTCAAACGAGCAACGATGTCTGGTAGACAACCGAAGGAAATGACAAATACAGAAACACTAATTATGAAGGACTGGAAAGAGAGCAAAGAAAAGCGATTGGAGTTTCTCAGGAAGGGACTTCCATACCTCGGCCAAGTCCTCGTCTTTCCCTTAGTCTGGACTTCCAACGATGGGCTCCTTCTCCCTCATCCAGGACTTGGCCTCATTAGCATCCGCAAAGTACTGCTGGGCCTGCAGAGAGTCCTCCAGGTCCTGCCTCCTCTGGGACGCCTTGGCCTTTAGCGTGTCCCAACGTCCATGAAGCTCTGACAGCTTAGTCTTCACCTCCTCACCAGCGAAGTGACCTGGACCCAAAAAAAGTGAGCCAGAACCTGCAGACACCTCAGAAACATGTCAGGACCAGACCTGCTCTACCCTCCTCCACCATGGTCTCTCCTTTCTGGGTGACAGCCTTGATGCGAGGTTCATGACCTGTGATCTCAGCCTGCAGAGCCTGGTGCTTCTTCAGCAGGTTCTGGACACCAATCAGGTCCTTCCCTGAGGACACATGTTAGAGTTCAGCATTATGCAGTAGACAGACCAGTTTAACCCAGGGGTTTCTTTCTTCTACAATCTGCTCTTTAACTGTATTATTTCCTGCTATTTCAGCTGTTAACTTTATTTTTTCTCCAAGTGTTTTTCTCCCCAGAAGAAGCTACAACGATGTTCTGCTGAGCTGTGGTGGCCTCATGGAGGGGGCCATCGGCTAGCACACTGCTGCTAACCACTTAAACATTCTCCCTGTCCTGATAGTAACATTTTACTTTCTTTGATGTTGGATGTGCTAATACTAGTTTACCCGTTTAATTATAGATTCACTAGGATAAATACAATAAAGTTTATCTCTTGCCAAATAGAATATTTACTGTGGCGAGCCCGTGAAGAGGTGTCGGAGAATGCGACAAATTTGTCTGTTAAAAAGTCTGTTATGTACAAAAAACACAATATCATCACACTATTTTGGACCGATACATGACGGTCAGGTCCGGCTTGGGGAGAAAATATGACACGTCTTTCAGGATGGACTTCATCTTTGGTAGCTGGCGAAGCCGGGAAAAGCAGGATCTAACCACCTGGCTAATGTGGGAGTCCATCCGCATCTCTGGGTCCAAAACCACCCCCAGGTTAGTGATGGTTGGCTTCACTAAGCTGCAAAAACAGGGTTGCAGGACAGGACTAACTGCAGTGGGAGAGGGAGGAACAAATATTCCAGTTATAAATATTAAATATTTGAACAAATAAATATTTGTTAAAAGGAAGAAACTGATGATGACTTTAAGATTAGAGGAATGTTCTAGAACGGGTCTGGAACCAACGATGGCCCTTTGGATCAAATTTGGATTAAAAAAATAGCTCATGATTTTATTTATGGATGGAATAAAAATACAGGTTGTAAGCATCTTCTCAGTATCTTCATGTTGCACGACTTTCCACAGCAGAAGGACACAAAAACTGCCAGAATTATGATTAGAAAGATTTACGTTTTAATCTCAGAATCCCAACTTTTCCCAGAATCTTCACATTATTCTATGAATTCAGAGAAAATATACATTTTTCAGAGGTCTCGCTCCCCTGTTGTGGATATTTCTCAAAATTCAACCATTTTTTCTTTTCAAAAGCTTTAGTAAGAGTTTGGACTCTAAACAAGTTTTACTTTGCAGACTGCTTGTCTACACCTTCATCAGATCTGCTCATAATAAAACATTTGGGTTATATTTAATGCCCAGGAAGATGCTCTTCCTGGGCATTAAGTTATCAAAAACAGATAAAAGTATTTTTTACCATAATTTTAACTGCTATCAGCTGATAAAAATAATAAAAAACAGCCTGATCATTAAAGGGGTGTAAGTGAAACCGCGCGGATCACACAAACCATCATGCTGTCTATATGACTTTGAAAATATATAGTTTAATTACAGTTTGATTTATTTGACATCTGTATAATGTTTATTATTTTGTTTTTTCCCCCTAAATGCCTAACGTTTCAGTTTAACATGAATATTAGTCATTATTCACAATACATAAAGTTACACATTTTAAATTTTAATAGGGGAAGACTGCAGGAGGGAGCGGTAAAATACAGAAATCCCCAGCAAAAACAAGAAACTTTACGAGTCTGATGAAACCCGCTGGAGTTCCTTCAGCAGGCCTGGTGGCAGCTACAACGGCCCAGTGGCTGTGCTTGGTCAATGTTATCGAGCTCAGTCCGGCTCGGCCGTGAACGAGCCGAGGCGACATCCTGCTCTGCTTAAGAAGAGGTGTTATTTTCCGCTTCAGAAGAAGCGTCCGTGTTTTACGCTTTCTCAGAGACATGTCACGTTGCTAAGTTGTTAGCGCCGCGCGCTAACACGTCAATAGTGCAGCATAGCCTGCTGGAGGGTTCAGATGAAAACACCCTACCACTCAGGCTGCTTACACATCGATATTAAGTTGTCGCTGTTGCGCTCACGCCGTAATACAGTATTAGATGCGGTTAAAGTCAGACATGAAAAACTCCACGAGCGGTCAGACCGCGCAGCAGCTAGGCGCAGCAAGTAGGCGCCGGATCGGTCAGGCTGCCCGGCCTGACCGCTGGGGATTACCGGATGGAAGAATGGACACAGAAGTCTCCCTCTTAGCGCTCCGTCATATTTCAACCCATTTTTATCTTAAATGCACTGGGTTTTACCCTATTACCCATCTAAATATGCCCTATTAATTATTTTACCGTATTTTACATTTAAATTTCATGGTTAAACAGTACATGCTACATGTTAAACTGATAGTTAGCTAGCTACTTCGGTAAACTCAGCTAGTTGAAAGGTGGCAGTGACATAAAATACGAATATAGATTTTAACTTACCGAAAAAAATGAAGTGGAGACTCCTTGGACGCTCTATTAGTGCAATTAATACCACTGCAAGTCATTTTGTCCAACAATTGCACCAATAATATCCAAAGAAGAATACACAAACACAGAGACTCAAAATGCCGGAGCAGTTTCCAAGCCAGACCGAGGCTGTACTGAGGCCTTTCCACGGAGCTAGCTCTGTGGTCACGTGGGTCTGAGGCGGCGGTCACGTGTGTCGGATGCTCATTAATTATACAGAATTTTAGGCTTTCAATACACTTAAACAGAAGAGTGAGAAAAAAATTCACCCCCCTCAGAGTTGTCATGAGTATAAACTAGATAATTTAGACAAAAAACATGTTTTGGCACCAGGCTGTAAACATGTTTATTTCTGCTGTGAAATCGGCATTTTTAACATGGGAGTCAATGAGGATTTGCTCGCTTCTGGCACCAGCCCCCAGCGGATGAGGGTGGAACTGCAATTTTTCTTACTTCCGGGATGGGACCATTTTCTGAGCGGCATTGTGGGGGCTTGGTCGGAGAGTGTGAGCAGGATGGATGAGAGAGCGAGCAGCGATCCTGCATCATGACCAACTCAGATGAGCGAGTCTGATAGAGGGAACCTCTTCAATCTGATGAAAGCAGCAAAACGAGCGCGTTTCTCAGAGAGGCCAAAGGAACAGCAGCAGATCCAGAGGGCAGGAAGTCTAGAGAAAAGCTTTTCTCACCCACAACCTGATCCTGGAGCTCCGATTGTCACGAAGACCGCAGAATATCTTCTCTGGTTCTGGAAAGAACTCCACCAAGTTGTTGAGGAGGAGAAGAAAGTTTCCACAGCCTGGTGAGAAGATTTCTGCAGCAGCAGCAGTTAGTCGCTTTAGCTGATCAACTCTCCCAGAGACTGAAGTGAAGACATTTTTACTGCAGAGCCTCAAATGTTCTCCTCACACACCAGAACAACAAGCTAGCTCTGCTAGCAGCTTCCGGTTCCTGCTTCTTCAGGTGGTCGGTGACCAGCGTAAAGGTGCACTAGCGCCACCTGCTGGAGCAGAATAAAACACACCTGTGTGTTCAGAATGGGACTAATAAACACACATAACATGTGATATCTTCCTCAAACAATTACTTAAAGTAAAGACAAGTTAGTTTTACACCTGTTATAATGATTTTGTTATTTACTTTATTTTAATCTAGTTTGTTTTTATCTCATTTGTTTTTCTTTGATGTAAAGCTGATTATGTGTCTGTTGCTGCTGCCTCTTGGCCAGATCGTTGTTGTAAATGAGAATGAGTTCTCTATCGACTCATCTGGTTAAATAAATAACATTTTAAGTTGTTTCTTCAAATGCACTGACAAACAAGTAAAATAATTTTCCTTTTTGACGTTTCATTATCTAAATACATTTTATTTACTTATTTTTATATTCTTTATTTAACCTGGAAGGTTCCATTGAGATTAAAGTTCTCAGTTTTGAGGGAGCCCTGGCCAAGAGGCAGCAAAAGATACAGTCACAACATTTCTGTTACAGTTATGTACAAAATTATAGAAGGCAGTTACAACCAGGGCGTGGGACAAGAAGTAAGCCACAAGTTGCCTTATGTTGCAATCATCACACTTTATTTTCCACATGCATTAGGAGAGATTCTGCCACCCCAGTCCCTGTGACAAATCTGAATATTTTACAAGATGTACACCTTTTGATTCTTCCTCTCATGCTGCAAAGTTTCACGCTGACCCCTCCCTAACTTTATTGAAGGCCATCACCTGTTGCCATGGTAACTGACACCCCTCTCTGCTTTCACTCCCTCCTCCAGATAAGATGGGAGACACATTGCCCCATCTGCTTCCTACCCTATCTTCCTTTGCTAAGGCTGCGATGACCTACGCCCTGGCTTTTTCCCGTTGAACAGCTTTTAGATGGTCTAGTCTGCACCTGGCCTTCGCCTGTTGAGAATCTCCTTCAGCACAAGCTGAAACTTCTAGCAGTATCAGCCTGCATAAATCAGATATAGGTCTAACTCAGTGCTAGAATGTACCAGTCACAGGTGAGTCATCCATTTGGTATATGCATCGTTCAGTTCAAAGGGACGTGAGTAACACCCGAACACTGAAATGATTAATATGGGGATTAACATACAGGTGATTAATTATAAGCATATAAATACATGTGTGATCAAACCTTATTTTCACAAAGCATACTGATTATTAACCATAGATAGATAGATAGATAGATAGATAGATAGATAGATAGATAGATAGATAGATAGATAGATAGATAGATAGATAGATAGATAGATAGATAGATAGATTTTTTTCCTGGTTTGTGAAATAAGATTTGTGTAGAGATGAGATTTCAAAGTTCTTTTGAGGTAAAGCCACATAAACAGAACACAGATACAAAATGTGCATCCCAACAAATAAGACAACCAACACCCAAATCCCATCTGTCAGCCAGAACTGGCCCACCAGCAATGTTCTTTTTTCTCTTGGAACTCTGGAGGCTCGGGGGAGTTCTTAAAGCTATGGTATTATCCAGACGGTTTGGACGTAACCTTAGGGAAAGCGTTAAGTTCTTTTTGGGCCGGCTTCCCTTACTTCCGCTTGTCGTTAAGTTGTTGAGGGTGGTTACTGTTTGGTTGAGTCTGCTCCCCCTTTGTTTCTGGTAAGGCCTCATATTTGGATTCTCTGGGTGAATCCCCAGTATTCGCACAGATACGTTCATGTTAAGGCCGAGTGTTAAAGGGCCATATTACTCAGAACATTTCTGGAATATCTTTTTTGTCTTAACCCCCAGAAACCCAAATTTAGAAAACAACTGCAAAATCTTTTTTTAACCTTTCACATGTTGTTCTAGGAGGCCAGATAAACGGGCCTATTTACACATTTTAACAGCCAACAGTGTCGCAGAACTGAACAATAGGACCTATTAGCAATGTAAATGTGGTTTTAAAAAGAAAAATAAATGTGGAAGGTTTATTTTTGTAGACTTAAATCTGATGTTGTAATATTACAACCGTGGGTCTCTGGGGTTAACAAGTCTTCTTCCATTTTGTGTTGTCGTTTATCTCCCGTAGGGACGCTTTTTGGTTCTCGACCGGAAATGGGTGGCTTGCCAACTCCGGGTCGGGAGAGAGGTCCAACCTCAAGTGGAGGAGTTTAAGTATCTCGGGGTCTTGTTCACGAGTGAGGGTAGGAGGGATCGGGAGATCGACAGACGGATTGGTTCAGCATCTGCAGTGATGCGGACGCTGAGCCGATCTGTCGTGGTGAAGAGGGAGCTGAGCCAGGAAGCCAGGCTCTCAATTTACCGGTCGATCTACGTCCCAATCCTCACCTATGGTCATGAGCTTTGGGTAATGACCGAAAGAACGAGATCGCGGATGCAAGCGGCCGAAATGAGTTTCCTCCGTAGGGTGGCCGGGCTCAGCCTTAGAGATAGGGTGAGGAGCTCGGACATTCGGGAGGGACTCTGAGTAGAACCGCTGCTCCTCCGGATCAAAAGGAGTCAGTTGAGGTGGTTTGGGCATCTGGTCAGGATGCCTCCTGGACGCCTCCCTGGGGAGGTGTTTCGGGCATGTCCTGCCGGCAGGAGGCCCCCGGGTCGACCCAGGACACGTTGGAGAGGTTACATCTCCAATCTGGTCCGGGAACGCCTTGGGGTCCTGCCGGAGGAGCTGGTGGAGGTGGCCGGGGAGAGGACGGTCTGGAGCTCCCTAGTTGGGATGCTGCCCCCGCGACCCGGACCCAGATAAGCGGAGGAAGACGACGATGACGAGGGACGCTTTTTGTTGATAAAATGTTTGTTTTGTCAAATATGATTTGGTGTACTGCTCCCTATTTTATTTTTTTTTGCACTCACGTACCTGTGTTAGCCCTCCCAGGATCCCAGACCTGGTTGAGGTTGTAACAGAAGAACTTGTTTTATGCATTGTGTGTAAATAAACTCAAGTTTGGAGGAAGACATTGTCTCAGCCCATTGTTTGATCTAGCGTGATCACTCTCCGTACCGAAAATAATAACAGTCGTGGGGCTCTAGGTTCACACTTGTACCAAATTAATATATAGTCAATTTGCTTTCTTTCACTGAATTTCTACTTTGTTCTTGATGGTCGCACGTGTAGCATCATGAATGGCCTCATCTTGTGGGGCAAAGTTCACTCTTTCCAGCTGGGTCACAGCTGGGTCGAGCTGTAACTTCCATCCACAGATTAAACCACCAGGAGCCGAATAGTCTACAATAACACCGTCTTCAATCTGACTGTTTATCTGTTTGCTGTTCCATCACGAGATGAAGGACCTTCAACTCTAATCAAATAATTTAATAAACTCTTTTATTATAAGGTTAACTATTATCATCATAAATGATCATCATGGTTCATTATAAATGTATTTTTAACTAATGAAATGACTTATTATTCTTTGGTTAATAATAATTATTATTTATGATAATCAGTAATGTGTGTTCAGTAACCAGAAGGTCTTTTGCACGTGTTTACACCTCATGCAGGACTCACTTCAAGGTAACTGCCTCACATGTCTTCCATAGTCATGCTTCCTGTCTCTGAGAGGGCGTGTTCTGAGGTTTTGTTAAAACCAAAGCTCCACAGCTTAAGTTCAATTCTTGAATCAAGCTGATACTTCTTCGTGGCAACGAGAGTATCCCAGAGGAGAAGGGTCGGCCGCCTGACTCCTCACTAAGCGTTCTGTCACGCCGATAGAATAGCTCTGAATAAACGCACCTATAACCAGCTGACACTACGAGATTCCTTAAGAATCTGCCCGGATGCAAAGCCACATCTACCTGTGCACCTCACGGCAACTCTAGGACCAGAGAAAGTCGGTACCCTTGGTCATCTGCCGGACCTGAGTACCCCCGAGGCTGACAACATCCTCCAGACCTCCAGATCCACACAGAGGGTCGTCTGAACGGTGAGGTAGAACACAGATTGCGTCCGATGTTGTTCTCTCTAAGAAACCATCAGTTAGCTGCAAAACCAACGTTTCACCCAGAACGCGTTCTCCCTCTGAAAGAAAGCTTCTGAGATTTCATTCACGCATCCAAACCTCATCATTCCACTTAGTTTTCCATCCAGACACAGGGGTTGCTTTAATAACAAGTTTTAATATCAAAATTGTTGTTCAAATTCATCATTTATAAATTGTTATTCATAAATTGTCTATTTTAAGTTGTCAGATTTGAAATTGTTAGTAATAAATTCTTAAATTTTTAAACCTGACTCTTCTTTGAATGAAACACAGAATGGTGTGCATTTTCAGTTATTGAATCAGCAAAGAACCTTATTAAGTCTTCTGTTTAATAAATAAACTTTTGTTATTAATTTAAATATCTTAAATTAAATATTAATCCGTAGATTAAATATAAACCAAGCTCGTTGGTGTATGAACTTCTATCGATTATATTAATATCCTAGATCAGGGATTCCCAAAGTGTGGTGCGTGCACCTGCCGCTAGGGGGTGCGCGAGGTGAAAAGTGTAATGGCTGCGTAGCTCAGAGAAGTCTGTCATATGTCACCATTAGCGTAGCCAGAAACTCATTTGTGGGTGGGCCTAAGAAAAAGTAAGTGTAAATAAATGTAATTGAAAACAAGTATATTTTTGTGTGTGTCCTCCACATGATCCCTAGCTTCATAATAACAATGTGCCGAGCTTCAGCACTCTGGCCTGAGCACGCCGATATGTTCCGTATTTGATCATTTTTAACAAGTTGGAGAAATCTGAAGGTGGTGAGTCATTCCGGCAGATTGTAATTAACACCTGTCTCATGTAGGTGTTCTGACATTGTAAACCTCACACACAGAACATTGTGGATGTAACTAAATAAATCAACAAATGATTCCCATTCAGGCGTGCTGAAGATCTGAAGTTCAGAGTGCGTGTGTCAGAGGTCAGACGCGTTCCAGCGGAACCACGGCTCACGGGTGCACAAGTGAGCACATCTGGGCTGGGCAGAAGTAATTTTACAACGTTGGTTTAAATAGCGCCAATAACGAGACGCGGTGACTGGAGCGGCTCATGGAGCTTTGCCGCGCACGCACACACACACACACACACACAGATTCAATAAGCTCGCAAGCTGCGCCAACTCCGGCGCGCCGTCAGACTGAAGGCAGAAATGAGCGCTGCCTCCTCTGTGATAAAAACTTTTAAGAGGTTTTATAACAACATTTTTCATTCAAGGTCAAATTAAGATATTAGCTTCTATTTTGGGATGACGCATTAAAGTCGGGTCCGCTCCAGCCAGTGACTCCGAACCTGACCACAACTCCCGTTGCAGCATTTGCTATTCCAGTCCGCGTGGCAGCGGATCGCAGATTCAGCCACACCATAAAACCGCAATAAGTCGGTCTGAGGCAAATGTAAACCTCATGGCTTTTCCATGTTTTCCCCTATAGACTCCACACTCCCTTTAGATTACGCACAAGTAGGTGATCAGCTCAGGTTTACGCAGAGCAGAAGGACGGAGAGCGCTCTGGCCGCACAGGTTAAACGTTCCTACTTTAAGAAAACCGTTAAATTGCATTGTTTATGTGCTACCTGGGCACTCTAAATATTTATTTAAAATTAAATCAAAGGAAATTGTAATGGTATCGAATGCTTATTAATTACTATTTAAAAAATGAAAGTGATGGGGAAAAAGGTCAATCATATTTTTTTAACCCTGTCTGTTTAGCTTGACGTCTGATATATATATATATATATATATATCTATATATATATATATATAATAATCGATAGCCATGCCCTGATGTGGGGGCTGGGGTGTGCGCGGCTAAATAAGTTTGGGAACCACTGTCCTAGATGTTTATATAAGATAGAAGCTTCATATGTTAACTTGTTTGTCTTTCTCAGAATCTAACAAAGCTGATAGCAACAGCGTTAGTTCTAGTATGTAGATTAACCCTACACACATGTGAACCATGTGCACAAACACATTCAGTGCAAACACACACGCGCACACATGCAGTTAAATGTCTTAAATTAAATTGTGTGCATTAATCTTATAGTACAAGCAGTAGAGTTGTTGTTATCTGTAATGTTTTAATGGTGGGCTGGTTTGATTAATATGTGTGATAGGCTGGCCGATCAACTGGTTGAGACACCAACCAGTCCTGCTACATCTACATACAAACAGTCCAAAGAACTGGGTGTGAGCGTAGCCTCTGTGTGGCCCTCCACATACGGCCCCTTGAACACCCAGATGGTCTGTTACACATACGTTTCTGGTTCTGATCAAGCGGCCAAGCAGTCAACAATATTTACATACAAATAGTCCCAAGTCAATATATACGTCTGTGGTACCAAGAACTGGGTGCGAGTGTAGCCTCTTTGTGGTCCCCCACAACATGATGAACACGAGCTTTAAAAACTCTGGACATCTCCTGTGATTTAGATTCATCATATATTTCCCCCAGTTTCAGCTGAGTGTCTCATTTAGTAACAAAACATGATTGTGAACTCTCTCTCAAGTCAAGTTTATTATATAGCCCATTTCATACACAAAACGGTAGCCCAATGTGCTTCACATACTTAAAACAATCACAAGTGAAATGAAATAGTTAAAATGTCACATCATGTTGTGTAAAATAAAATCAAAGAATATTGACACAGAACATAGCACACAAAAATAAAAGCATATTAAGTACAATTATTGGTAGCGCTTTCTTTTACAGTCCTCTAATTACTTAGTACTTACATGGTAATTTCTTAGTAAGTTAGTGTATTATTGTTTCTGAGTTCTTAAATTGTTATTACTATGTAACTCAGGTTCAATTCTAGTTTTTATTTTTATTAATCATTCCTAGTATATACTGCTTTACACAATAACTACACCAGGGTTTCCCTTACATAGGCGCAGTCGTGGCGGGCCGCCACGGCTGAAATCCCACCGCCACGTCTACAAGATCCCAAGTTTTGATTTTTTTTTTTAGCAGTTTCACGAGGAAGCAGCGGGAACTACTATGTTGTTGCTTGTGATCACAGTCAGCAGGCAGCAAGGAGGAGCAGGCAGGGCAGGGTGAAGTTACAGCATAAAGGTAGCAGTGGATATAATGCTTTTTGGTTTACATGTTTCAATAGCATTAAGATAAACGAGCGTTGACGATCTTGACAGGGTTTCCTCCCCCCACCAGGATAAGCATCACTAATTCATGTAAAAGATTTTTTTTCATGTCTGACTTTAACCGCATCTAATACTGTATTACGGCGTGAGCGCAACAGCGACAACTTAAGATCGATGTGTGAGCAGCCTGAGAGGTCGGGTGTTTTCATCTGAACCCTTAAAACCTCCAGCAGGCTACGCTGCACCATTGACGTGTTATCGCGCGGCGCTAACAACTTAGCGACATAACATGTCTCGGAGAAAGCGTAAAAACACGTTGAACGCTTCTTCTGAAGCAGGAAAATAACACCTCTTCAAGCAGAGCAAGACATCGCCTCAGCTCGTTCACGGCCGAGCCGGACTGAGCTCGATAACATTGACCCAGCACAGCCACTGGGTCGTTGGAGCTGCCCCGTGACTGCCTGATGGAAAACCAGCGGGTTTCATCATAAAGTTTGTTTTTGCTGGGGACCCCCTGTATTTTACCGCTCCCTCCTGCAGTCTTCCCCTATTAACATTTAAAATGATTCTGTAAATTCCGTGTATCAATAGAAAAAATCTCTGCCTCTGCCAGCTGCAGTAAATGTAGTCTCCAAATAATAAATAAGAGGTGCATTCATCTGTGTACCTCCTTTGATCCACATTAGTGATATTCTCAGCACCAGAACAGTGAAGCAAAGAAACAGATTCCTGAGTTTGTTATAATTTTATTTATTAGGTGCATCTAACCGGTTCTATTTTTCTCTGAAATGAGATCAAATCAGTGCTTCTATGGGTTGTCTCCACTCGGCACTAGAAAATTTTACATTATTTAGAGACGTGTGGAGAAAAAAACCTACAAGATGCAGAAAAAAAGGATAAACCTCCAACCTTCATATTGTCAGCAATAAACGCAGCAAAACTTAACTTTCATGACCAAAAAAAAAAAAACCCCATAAAAATTATTCAGTACATCAGGAGAGCAGAAACAAGTCTTATTTCTGATTTTACATTTTTTTTACTTCACTATTTAGACTTTTGTGTTTTCGTCACATTTAGCTTGTATTTTATTTAACATATCATCAGTTTTACAGGTTAGCTGTTCTTGTGCGCTTAAAAAGTTATGTTACTAACCTTCTAAAAAAATTACCAAACCATTCACATGAAGTAGATTTGTTATTCATTATCTGAAAGTATCCGATTAGTTTAAAAAACTAAATATGTTTTGTTTAATTTGGTTTTCAGAATGTCACTAGTTTACTTATACTTTTAATATATATATACTGATGTACTGAAATACAGAGAAATCAACTTGTGAGTACAATGCATGTTAATATAGTAAGTATAGCATGTTTAACATAAGCACATTCACACATGGAAAGTATCAATGTAAATAAATCATATGGCAGTAACTCTGCTGTACTTCATTGTGTAAAAGTAGCTCACGGGCCAAAAAAAGGTTGGAGACCCCTGCAATAGATCGTTCAGCCCTAGTGGATGCTTAGATGATTGTTTAAAGTTTTCTTTCAGCTAAATCTTCGTCCACAGAGCTCACAAGCAAAGGGCTTCTGTCCTTTATGGACTCTTTTGTGACCGTTTAAACTGATCTTTAGGGTAAATCTTTTCCCCCGAACTCACAGGCGAAAGCCAGTGTGGACTCTCATGTGTCTGTTTAAATTTGATTTTCGGCTAAATCTTTTTACACAGAGCTCACAAGCAAAAGGCTTCTGTCCTGTGTGGACTCTCATGTGTGTGTTTAAACTTCCCTTTTCACTAAATCTATTACCACAGAGCTCACAGGCGAAACGCTTCTCTCCTGTGTGGACTCTCATGTGTCTGTTTAAATATGACTTTCGGCTAAATCTTTTTACACAGAGCTCACAAGCAAAAGGCTTCTGTCCTGTGTGGAATCTCATGTGTGTGTTTAAACTTCCCTTTTCACTAAATCTATTACCACAGAGCTCACAGGCAAAACACTTCTCTCCTGTGTGGACTCTCATGTGTTTTTTTAAAGTTCCCTTTTCACTAAATCTATTACCACAGAGCTCACAAGTAAAAGGCTTCTGTCCAGTGTGGACTCTGATGTGACTGTTTAAAGTTGACTTTAAGGTAAATTTCTTTCCACAAAGCTCACAAGGAAAGGGCTTCTCTCCTGTGTGGACTCTCATGTGACTGTTTAAACGTGTCTTTTGGCTAAATCTTGTTCCACAGAGCTCACAAGGAAAGGGCTTCTCTCCTGTGTGGACTCTCATGTGACTGTTTAAATTTGTCTTTCGGCTAAACCTTTTTACACAGAGCTCACAGGTGAAAGGCTTCTGTCCTCTGTGGACTCTCATGTGTTTGTTTAAACTTCCCTTTTCACTAAATCTATTACTACAGAGCTCACAGGCGAAAGGCTTCTCTCCAGTGTGGACTCTCATGTGTGTGTTTACACTTCTCTTTTCACTAAATCTATTACCACAGAGCTCACAGGCGAAAGGCTTCTCTCCAGTGTGGACTCTCATGTGTGTGTTTAAACTTCCCTTTTCACTAAATCTATTACCACAGAGCTCACAGGCGAAACGCTTCTCTCCTGTGTGGACTCTCATGTGTTTGTTTAAAGTTCCCTTTTCACTAAATCTATTGCCACAGAGCTCACAAGCAAAAGGCTTCTGTCCAGTGTGGACTCTCATGTGACTGTTTAAAGTTGACTTTAAGCTAAATTTCTTTCCACAAAGCTCACAAGGAAAGGGCTTCTCTCCTGTGTGGACTCTCATGTGTGTGTTTAAAGTTGACTTTAAGCTAAATTTCTTTCCACAGAGCTCACAAGGAAAGGGCTTCAATCCTGTGTGGACTCTCATGTGACTGTTTAAACGTGTCTTTCGTCTAAATCTTTTTACACAGAGCTCACAAGGAAAGGGCTTATCTCCTGTGTGGACTCTCATGTGACTGTTTAAAGTTGACTTTAAGCTAAATTTCTTTCCACAAAGCTCACAAGGAAAGGGCTTCTCTCCTGTGTGGACTCTCATGTGTGTGTTTAAAGTCGACTTTAAGCTAAATTTCTTTCCACAGAGCTCACAAGGAAAGGGCTTCAGTCCTGTGTGGACTCTCATGTGTGTGGTTAAATTAGTCTTTTGGTGAAACCTTTGTCCACAGTGCTCACAGGCAAAATGTTTCTGCTTTGTCTGGACTCTCGTGCGTTTGTTTAAAGGTGTTTTTTGGCTAAAGGATTGAAACCTGGCAGCATCAGTCTCCTTATTCAAATGGAGATGCTCTCCCTCCATACTAGACCAGAGTTTCTCTTGTTCCTCCTTTTTGTGGAGAAAATCTAGGTGCTGGTGGTTGACACGAGTACTCTGTTCTTCTGAAGCTTCTTCTTTAACCAGAACCATCTGTTGAAAATCTGTAGGAAACACAGAAACATATTATGTGAATTACAGACAGCTGTAACTGTGTTTTCACACATATAACAGTTGTATTATTTCTTTAAACTGACAGTAGAATGAAATGTATTTACAATTGGAAACTGAACTTTGAGCCTCTATAAATCATATGAGCCTTAACCCTCAGGCTTCACTTTAATTTTCATACAAGAGTCATTAGAGGACAAAAACGTCCACTTGTAAAAGCCGCTATAAAAAATGTATACATTAATGTTTTTTAGGCCCGAGCAGCGAAAGCGCTGCGAAGGCCTCTTGTTTTTGCTCTGATTATTCTTTCTTTCTTTCTTTCTTTATTATTCCGGTGCCGCTTTGAACGGCTTTTTGGGGACCTTAACATAACACAAAACTCACAATATTTTGCACACTTGTCAAGCCTGGTGAAAAATTCGATATTTTAAAGGTTCCAAAAAAATCGCAAAGAAAATGGCTGAACAGCGCCCCCTACAAAGGGAAAAATACCCCTCTCCATAAAGCTTAGTTTATCGTACAGTTATGAAATTTGGTACACTTGTAGTACTCAACAGTCTGCACAGAAAAGTCTCTTGCAAGCATGGTCAATATCAAACAGGAAGTCGGCCATTTTGGGTTGAAATGGCGATTTTTAGCCGTTTTTGCCGTTTTTAGGGTCCGTTTCTGAATGGATTGCTCGATCATTTTCCGCACGATCGTCTCACAAATTGTGTAAAATTGCTCAGAAGGGATGGGCGAACAAAATGAGACAAGGATTCTGACTTTTCGTATATGGTGAAGGGGCGGGGCCAGGCCTCGAAGTTTGACTACTCACCAAAAATATTTAAATTACTATAACTTCATAACAGAATGGAATAGAGATACCAAACTTTCTGTGGTCATTTGACATCCACCCACAAAGTAATTTGAATGGTGGGATGATGATATCACACAAGCCCCGCCCCCTAAGGACCAAAAAGGTCAAGTTTTACTGTGAAAGGTCCCAAATTGTCCCATTTCACTTAATCAACACAAATTTGTAGCTTTTATTTCAAGACAAGTGGGGGTTGCTTGGCGTCATTTTACGGGAGTTTTCGACAGAGGGCAGGGCTGTGGCGGCGCGGCGAAGTCAGGCGTACCGCCGTGACCTTACGTTTGCCTCCCATTTCGTCATTTCTAAAGATATCGTCACGAAACTTCTTGTGAGTGATCCGAGTCCGGCCCCCCAAAAGATCTGATGTGCACATCCGGTGGGCGTGGCCTATTTTCTGAAATAGCGCCCCCTAGGACCATTAAAACTGTCAGCCCCAAGCCATGCTTTGACTGAGGATTATGAAATTTGGTACACTAATGTGGTGTCTGGGGACCTACAAAAAAGTCTCTTGGACCCAAGTTCAAAGTCGTACAGGAAGTCGGCCATTTTGGTCCAAGTACGCGATTTAGTGGTTTTCGCACACGTTGTTTGGAGAGTGATGCTCCGTCGCCCTTTTCACCAATCGCCTTCAAACTTCCGCCATATGCTCTTAAGACATAGAGGAAAAAATTCAACCGTCGGATTTTAAATAAGTATAAAGGTGTGGGCGTGGCTAAGCCTCAAACTTTGACCTTTCGCCAGGCCACTCTTTTTTTCACAGCTCCCTATTGGACTCCTTTTACCCAATCACCAGGAATCTCTGGTAAATAGCAGCAGACAAGTTGAAGTCACTTGGTCTCCAGTACTGGAAGGTTTTGAAAAAAGGCGGGGCTTTGGGAGCATGGCGAAATTCGCCATCACGCCATGGAAATACGTTTGCCTCTCATTTCTTCATTTATCGTGATATCACCTCGAAATTTGTTGTGAGTGATCCTATTCTGACCCCCAATAGGCATGGTCAGCTTAAGTTTGTGGGCGTGACCTATTTTCTGAATTAGCGCCCCCTAGGACCATTAAAACTGTCAGCCCCAAGCCATGCTTTGACTGAGGATTACGAAATTTGGTACACCAATGTGGTGTCTCAGGACCTACAAAAAAGTCTCTTGGAGCCAAGTGCAAAGTCGCACAGGAAGTCGGCCATTTTGGTCCAAGTACTCGATTTAGTGGTTTTCGCACACGTTGTTTGGAGAGTGATGCTCCGTCGCCCTTTTCACCAATCGCCTTGTAACTTCTGCTAGATACTCTTAAGATATAGTGGAAAAAATTCAACCGTCGGATTTTAAATAAGTGTAAAGGTGTGGGCGTGGCTAAGCCTCAAACATTGACCTTTCGCCATTACATTACTTGACTTAATAACTCCCATGTGCACGATCAGATCTATATCAAACTTTGTCTGTGTGATCACTGACCACATCTCAAGGCAACGTCATTGTGGACAGCTGACATCACCTAAGCCCCGCCCCCTGACAACAGGAAGTCTATTGTTTTATGGTGAAATGCCCATATTTGTCCCCTCTAATTTAGTCAACATGACACTAAGGTCATGCACCGTCTTCATGATGTTGTAATGACCATTCAGTTCTGATAGCTTTCCAGATAGGAAGGGGCTTTGATGCCATGGCGAATTCTGGCATGACGCCATGACCTTACAATTCAATTTAATGGTGAGCTCAGAGGGGATGCTGAGTCAGGGCGAGGTGCGGACTAGGAGGCCATTTGCGGTTTCTGGTGTCGGGGTGGTTGACGTTTCTGTTCTGCCAGACGTGCCCTGGTGCCCCGGGCTGCCGGCCAGGCCGGAGCGGCGCGGAGCTGCGAGGGCCGAACGACGCTGCTTGCAGCTTTAATTTTTTTTACTTTTTTTCATAGATCTGTTGAACAACTTCAGCCCTGCTCAAACATAAAAAAAATTCAATCATTTTGAGGCTTTTAACCCCTGAAATGCCAGTTTGAATACTCAAAAGTCATTGATGTAAATTATGAAGAAAAAAAAAACAGAAAAAAACAGCACCGAGTTATTTTCTAAAAAAAACAAGTAACGAAACCATTTCTGTGTTTTAAAAAGAACGACAGCATGGAATTAGCCTTGGATATGTCAAGAGTCTAGCAAAATATCACATTTTATGCTTTTTTAGTTTTTGTGTAGCAGCAGATTTAAAATTTACCACCCTCTTGTGCCTGTTATGGACAAAAACGTCCCATTGACTTCAATGCAAACCACAGTTTTTGATCCTGCATTATCTGCAGCAAATATTCATGCTTTCTGTGATGTAATGGTTTCATTTTGGACAAAAGTAGTCAAATGTATGATTTTTACTGTTCACCACCAAATTCAGTCATTTCTTCATATGTTGCCCAGGCGAGAAAGTTTACACATTTCTATAGATCTTCTGCTGTTTTTATTGAAGTCAGAAGCTCAGCATGTAAACAAAACACAGTTTCACTCTCCTACTGAACATCAAAGGGTAGAAAACAAAAACAATATGTTTATGCATCTGGCTGGAGTTCAGGCACATCCAAACTCTTTGTAGTTCAGTTTGTTATGAAAGGGCAGAAGTGTGAATGCATGCATGTGAAGTGACTCCTTGGAGCTCTTCGGTCATCTCCAAAATGACACGTTTTCCCTGGCCGACCTCTGCAGCCTCACCAGCAGCTTTCCCTGTGTTAACCTGACACTTGCAGGCATAGGAAGTGGCAACATCAGCAGTGACCCAGAGTTTCAATCCGTACTTTGCTGGTTTACTTGGCATATGTTGGCGTAACTTGCACCTGCCTCTGAAAGGGACAAGCTGCTCATCAGCACACCAGGGTTTCCCTTACATAGGCGTAGCCGTGGCAGGCCGCCACGGTTGCAATCTTACCGCCACGCCTACAAGATCCCAAGTTTTATTTGTTTTGTTTTTTTTTGCGCTGTTTCCCGAAGAAGCAGCGGGAACTACTATGTCGTCAAAGCCGGCAGGCAGCAAGAAGAAAGGAGCAGGCAGAGCAAGGTGCAGTTACAGCATAAGTTACTGAGTTTAAAATTAGAAAGGTAGCAGTGGATATAATGCTTTTTGGTTTACATGTTTCAATAGCATTAAGATAAACAAGTGTTGACGATCTTGACAGGGTTTCCTCCAGTGCTTATTAGGCAAGATTTTCCTCTCCCAACCAGGATAATCATCACTTATTCATGTAAAATTTATTTATTTTTTCATGGGAGCCCTGTCCTTCCAGATCAGCTCATTCTCCACGAGCGGAGCTGGACGGAGAGACGCAGCAGTCCAAAGTTTTTCTGCCTCGTTCACTGCGAGTAATCACTGAGCAACAAGAAGGAGCTGACGCTACACCGGACCTCCATCCCGGTACCGACGGAAGCACACAGGATTTGGCACAGAACCCGGCGTGGTAACACCGGCCCAGCCCAGCGGCAACGACCCTGACGTGGTTCTATCGGCCCAACCCAGTGGCACCGGGCCCGGCGTGGATCCATCCGCCTGGCCAGGCAGCGCCGTACCCAGCGTGGTTACGCCGGCCCAGCCCAACGGTACCGAGCCCGGCGCGCCTCCATCGGCCTGGCCCAACAGCGCCGAACCCGGCATAGTTCTGCCGACGGGGCCTAGCAACACCGACTACGGAGGGGTCCTGCTGAGCCAGGCCCAACAAACATTCATCGCGTCGCGGAGACTAAACCACAACAGCCTTCCCCGTCGAGAGACAAGATGGGCCCGGAGCTGGCAAAGCCTCAGAATTGATTGAGGCTGCAGTAAAAAAAAGAAAAGAAGGGGCACAAGTATTCAAGTATTTAGAAGATGCCACCTAAAAGAGGTAATATCAATGAGGAAGAACTAGAGGACATAAAGAAATCTTTGAACTTTATGTCAGAAGAGATTACAACCATTGCAAAACAACAAAAACTGATAATCAATTTAACTGAGGATATTAAAGAATTAAGAAGGCAAAGTGAGGAAAAGGACAAGAAGATTACTATGTTGGAAGTACGAGTGGCAGAATTGGAACAATATTCGAGGATATCAGATGTAATAGTAACGGGTCTGGAAACCAAGCACCAGACATATGCACGGGCAGCAGCTGAAGAGAGAGAGGAGCCGCCTGAGCAAGAGTTGCGCTCCCTTGAAGAGCAGGTAATGGCATTTTTCAATAGTAAAGGTATTGAAATGGATAGTAAGGACATTGAGGGGTGCCAAACTCTTCCAAGGAAAAACAAGAATCAAAAACCTGCCATTATTATAAGATTTGTGAATAGGAAGCAGAAAAAAGAGCTACTGAAGCAAGGAAGAAAGTTGAAACGAATGTGTATGTTAATGAACATCTAACCAAGAAAAATGCAGATATTGCAAGACAAGCGAGATTATTAAGAAAACAGAAGAAAATACAGTCAACCTGGACATCAGATTGTAAGGTGTTCATTAAGTTAAATGGAACACCTGAGCAGGCAAAGGTCTTGGTCATTAAAGAGCTGATGGAACTGGAAAAATATGGCTGATAAATGTAAGGCAAAGCATGGGGATGGTTGATGGTACTTTTAATGAATTGTCAAATAGGATGGTACTAGGCCTAGACGAAGTATTGGTAGAGGTGATGGTGTGTGGATAAGATATATAACAAAGTCAGATGGCTGACAGATTTCAAGTAACAAATCAAATGGATGCTGAAACTGGGACATTGGGGTATGATAGCAATATAGATCCTGACTGTAATTTTTTTACTAAAATGTTAAAGGACTGTAATTATTATGCAATGGAACAATTTAATATGAACATAGAGGGGGTAAGAACATAACTATGGTTCATTTCAATAGTAGAAGTCTATATGCAAACTTTCAATTTATTAAAGCATATATAGCACAGTTTAATCAACCATTTGATGTGATAGCAATATCAGAGACTTGGATGAACACTGGAAAAGAAGAGGATTTTGAGATGGAGGGATATGAGCTCCTCCATCTAGCCCTTTGATGCATGAATTATGAAATCTTCAACCATGATTTTTTTAACAATTTTTTTCATTCGTCTTTAGGTGTGAATGAAACAAATTGCAACAAATATTTTTTGTAAAATTTTATAATTTACAAATAATTTATTACATGTCCACTTCAGTGGGCAGCGTGCATTCTGAGCATGAAACATGTTGGCTTGGCTTACTGAAGTCCAAACGGAGGGGTTCAAATACAATAAAGTCTTCAACAGCTGTGCTTAATAGCAAAAACAAATAAATAACAATTTTGAATACCTGTCTACTGTAGTGACCATTATGCATCAAAGGGCTAGATAGGACAAATTAAAAAGGAGGTGGGGTGGCACTCTATGTTGATAAAAATTTAAGGTTTGAAAAAATGAGTAGAATGACGAGGGTGGTAGATTGAGTGATGGAATGTATAACAGTGGAAATAAACATGAACAAACAGAAAAACATCATTGTTAGTTGCATATATAGAACACCAGGATCAAAGATTGAGACTTTAAAGGACATTATGGAGGACTTGTACACAAATCTGAATCAGAAAAGAATGTTTATTTGTGGAGACTTTAATATTGATTTATTGAACCCAAATCATAATAAGAGTACTGAAGAATTTATTGAGTCAATGTATTGTATGGGATTATTTCCCCTGATAACAAGACAGACGAGAATAACCACTCACGGTGCAACTCTATTAGATAATATTTTTACAAATGTAATGGAAGAAAATATAAAAGCCAGGATATTGATAAATGATATAAGTGACCACTTACCAGTTTTTGTAACTTATGACTGTTGCTATAAAGTTCATAGAAATGTATGTAAGATGATATATAAAACAATTAGAACAGAAAAGGCAATGCAGTGTCTCAAAAATGAGTTAATAAAACAAGATTGGACTATTGTATATAAACATAAGGATGTCAATAAAGCCTATGAGGCATTCTTAAGTATATTCATGGCCTTATTAGAGAAAAATAGCCTACTTATTGAAGTCAACAGGAATAACACACCTGTGTGAATAACACAGCTGTCTAAGAGAAAAACCACTTCTCCAACTCATTTACTTATTTACATATCTGAAAGGTGGCAGCCCTACCTGTGTCCATGCTGTCCAGGTCCAGGTGGTGAAGAACACACGATGAATCAGTCCCAGCTGATGGATGATCCTGAAGTGGTAGCAGGTTTTCTTTAGCCGTGTTTAGCTAACAGCTGCAATAGAAACAAAGCAGGAGAGCTGATTAAGATGCTGCTTCAGAACAACGCAGGAGATTAAAGATCCAACGCTTTGGTTCTGATCAGCTGAGGACAGATCCAGTCTGGAAAAGAGGACCTTTGCTCACCAGAGTTCACAGAGTTCTCTTCTGTTCTTCCAGCTACAGACTAAATAGAAGATGGATGCTCTACAAAAATACTAACAACGGTTTCTCCTGTTTAGTTCTGTCTGGTGGCTCACTAAAAGTCAAATCCAGCATGGCAGCATCTCATGGAGCCAACAAGGAAAGCAAGGTGTGATATCAGCAGAGGGCTGGAAGCTGAAAAGGTAAAGAACAACACAACCTGAGGGTTCCTCGTCTCCAGCTGAGCCAAGAGCACTAAAGGGTTTCGTTTAGAGTTTACATGAAGAAGTAGTGAGTTTATTTATTTATTTATTCTTTATTTAACCAGGAAGGTCCCATTGAGATCACAAACCTTACTTTCAAGGGAGTCCTGGCCAAGAGGCAGCTCCACGGACGTGTAATGTACATGAAAACACAGGAATCCCAGCTAAATGAACTTTAGGTGTGTTTTAGCAGAATGCTATTGTGTTTTCAGTATTATTATTGATTACTAAGTCATTATATTATACATTTACTCAGTAGAATGTGTCTTTCTAAAGTTGTATTTATTTTTATTTACATGTAAATATGCATCCCTGAAAAACATCTGCTTAACGAATGCTCTGAAACATCAGCTGGCATTTCTTTTTAGCCTGTTTTGTCTATTTAATACTTGCTACTTGGTTCATTTTCATGCTGAATGCTGTTGAGTAAACTTCTGTCTGTAGCAAGGAGCTGCTGTTGTGTGTGTGTGTGCGTGCGCCTGTTCTATGGATCTCTTTATTAAAACTATTTAACGGTAATAAAATAGTTTGTTGATTTTAAACAGGGAAAACCCCACTCGCGATTTAGCGATAGCATGACGCTAACTCCATTAGGCCGCTAGCGTGCTTTCCCTCACAAAGAAACGGTGTCCACTCACCAAGTGAACTGCTCCACTCACTAAAGACGGTAAATGTTCCAGATCCAACTACGTTACTGACTGTACTACCGACTACTGACTACCAAAACTCACCAAGTCCACCGAGTTATCTCAGAACAGCACAGCTTCTAGGTCGTGTCTCGGCAACTACAGTTGGCTAATGGCTACAGCTTATTTGTAGCACGGGGCGGGGAGTGGGCACAACATTACCATATATGGAAACGGGGCCATTGCTTTCCGGAACTGAAGGGGGCGCTAATGTCGAGCTACCGTTTTGGAAAAATCTTTATTCAAACTGTTCATAAAACAATATATAATTCTAGGTAAACTATCGTAATTTCTATATTTCTGATTCATAAATATTTACTGTTTATTACAATATTTTTTGTACATCGTTGTACTAAACATGACACAGTCAACAATCATTTAAACTATAATTTTCAATAATCTTCATCAAAGAATGACTGATTCTTCACACTTTTCACATCACTTTAATTTTTTTTAAATTAGTGTGGTATTTTTTAAACGCCAATGTCATTCGAAATCTCATGAGGATGATTTTTACAAATGGCCTAGTTTTATACTATTTGTAGGAAACTAACCATTTGAGTTTGATGAGACTATTCATAGTATTTAAAACTGATATTTAAACCTAATTCCTCCAAAGATGTAACATCAGCTCTCCTAAGTGTCACCTGTGTCTCCAAATGAAATGAGTTGTCCTGATTTAATTTTTTTGTTATTTTATCATGTAACCTAATGAAAAAATTGGGTAAATGTGTGGAGAAAACTTTCCATTTTAGCAAAAAGAATAACTTCCAAAAGGATGGCTCTGTTGAACAGCTGCTGAGAACGACTTTTATGGATTTTTGTTTCATATCAATATAATTTTTAAAAACATGTGAAACTCCAAAAATTAGAATGTTGCACATTAATTTATTTTAGTAAAAGCAAAACCAATTGCAAAGTACTTATGTCTGACAATTTTCTATTTAAAAGCAGTGTTGGATTTTTTTAATGTAATATTCTAATTGTCTGAATTTTTGAATGCAGGGTTTTCATCATCTGTATGCCATAATTATTACAATTATAACAAATAAAGGCTGAAATATCTGGCTTTGTATGGAATGAGTCTTATTACTGAAATAAATCAACTTTTTCACTATATTCTCATGTTTTGAGTTTTACCTGTAATTTGATTTTTTATTAAGTTCATTTGAGTCATTTTTATATAAACTGCAACCAATTTTTCAAGAAACTTTATTCTCAAACAGAGGAACAACAGGATATTGTTTCAAAAAAATCTAAACAGCAGCAGTTCTTTTCAACATTACAAAAAAACACATGTGAGTGCACTTGCTGCAGAAATGTTTCACTGGACTATTTGGCAATGTTTGAACATTTGAACATGCTCAATGCTGACAGCCAGGGCGGTGTCCAGGTATCCCACCAGAGTAATAGCGAGGGTACTTTCCTCTTCGTCCTTTTCCCGTGAAGCCCACACAGTCTTTGTATAGACCGTGCTCAGACTTGAAGGTTGCAGAAAACCTGCTCCAGTGAATCTCACCTATTAACAAAATGATAATTAAATTAAGCCAATTAATTAACATCATTGGTCATTTATTACATCCAGCCAGGCAAAGTGGGCCTTCTTCCTAAAAACAGGATCTGAAACAATGGTGATGAAGTGTTTGCAGGTCAGTGCCGATGACAGGTAAATGGTAAATGGCCTGTATTTGATATAGCGCCTTCTAGAGTCCTGGAACCCCCCAAGGCGCTTTACAACACAATCAGTCATTCACCCATTCACACACACATTCACACACTGGTGGGGATGAGCTACAATGTAGCCACAGCTGCCCTGGGGCGCACTGACAGAGGCGAGGCTGCACCAGCAGGCAACGAGGGTTAAGTGTCTTGTCCAAGGACACAACGACAGCGACAGACTGAGCGGGGCTCGAACCTGCAACCTTCCGATCACGGGGCGAGCACTTAACTCCTGTGCCACCGTCGCCCGTAAGCTGCATCTCCTTCTGTTAGGATCACCTCCAGGAGCACAGCTTCAAGCACAAGTCTATGAAAACAACACACATGTGCACCGTGAGACTGTCATAAAATTACAAGACAACATGAATGTTTATTTATTGATTTTTGTCATTTAAAAGGAAAAGAAAGAACACAGTAATACAGAATCTCAATTATAGTAACCAAACAGGTGTAGGCTGAAGCCTAGCTTTTTATGCCTACCCTATTTACTCAATCACATTACTTCTCAAAAAAAAAAAAAGAAATGACAATAATAAGATAAAAGTAATGTAATAATAAAAATGAGAGTGAGATAAAAATAATAATTATCAATTAATCAATCAAATATACTTTACAGGGGTGGTTCTAGACCAAATTTTCCAGGGGGGCCACAGTGGGGCCAGTATTTTTTCATGGGGGCGCAAGAAAAAAAAATCATAATAAAAGACAATGAACAAGTAAACTATTACGGCGAATGCAGTAATGGTTTACTTGTGAAAGTAAAACCGGCATGTTTTATGGTACTCAGATAACAATTCTGAATGCTTCACCGCAACATGAGACTTGAGTAAAAAGACAATTCTAGTCAATTATTATAGTTTGTGACTTTATTTGAAGATCATATGAAATGTACATATGAAAAATAAACATTCAAATAAAATATCTGCACAATACAATTTGCTTTTTGTAGTCCACACACACACACACACACACACACGCACACGCACACACACACACACACACACACACACACACACACACACTTCTTTTGTGTAAGTTTGTGCTGATTTAGTTTTACAGCATAAATCATCATCAAGATGTGACACAGTAATTGGTCACACAGTAATCTGTCCCATTACAATAACAGTATTCTACGTTTGTGCTGTCTTGCAAAACGGTCTACAAATGCTTCAAGGATCAGAGCCTTGGCCCATCTGGATTCAATGCTTAGCACCCCTAGATTGCTAAGGCGCTCATCTGTAGTGGTAGACCGGAGGTAGGTTTTTACTAATTTTAATGTTGAAAAACTCCGCTCACAAGAGGCAGAACTTACTGGGAGTGCAACTGCGATTTTGCACAGTCTAAAGAACTCGTAAAATACCTCTTTGTATGGCTCTGTGAAACGGATCAACTCCACTGTATCAGAAAGCTTTTCAACCACACCAGTCTTTATTTTTCTATCCAAAAGTCTCTTGAACTGATGCAGTTCATGCCCCAGATCCTCAATATTAGCATCAAAAAGATGACCAAACTCAAACAAAGTGGTGTCTTTCCAAAAAGCATCACTTTTAGGGTTAAGAGATCGAATACTGCTCAGCTCACAACTGGTCTTTGAAAAACGTCTGCTCAGTTCACTTAGCATGCAGTCAATGACAGGATAAAAAAGAAGACCGATAAGTTTCTTTGTCAGAGGCCAGCTCCCTCTGACCAACTGAGCTTAGTATGTGGTACTCACGAAGTCTGGAGCTTGTCTTTATCTGTCGTTTTGCTTCCGACTGTGTGGCAGCATCACACTGTTCACAGATGTTCAGTACTTCCCCCCACAACTTGTCAAAAAAGGACTCCTGCCTGAAATCTGTTAAAGTCTGCACCAATCCTTCATCTAAATCGGCTGCTTTTGAGAGGTCAACAGTTGAGGACTGCAGCATATCTGAAAGAAGCTTTGTTTCTCCGAACAATGTACGGAGCGTAACAAGATGCACAACAAATTCTAGGTCAATCTGTGCCAGAAGATCTCGAGCCTCAGAAGATTTTCCTCCCCTGCGCTCTTGTGCAGTCTCTTGCAGGACACGTTTTAGGGCAGGTAATCTGTCCATGATGTTGCGTAGAGCAATGAATCGGCAAGCCCATCTTGTGTCACTTAATTTTTGTAGCTCTCTTGTGCTGCCATACATCTCATTTTGCACAGCCAGCCATTTGGGGTGTACCTATGAGCCAGAAGTAAAAACATAGAGACTCTGTAACAGAGCAAAACATTCCTCTGCTTCTGGGACTGCTTTGATAGAATCAACTAATACTAAATTGAGACAGTGGGCACTGCAATGGATGTAAAATGCAAATGGAGCTGTCTCTTTAATTTTAGCCTGGACCCCAGAATGCTTACCACTCATTACAGCAGCACCGTCATATGCTTGGCCTATAAGGTTGTTTTTGTAGTCTAACCCATGGCGTTCCAATAGGTTGACTATTACTATCTTTTCAGTAAGGCCCACTGCATCTAGTCTTTCTGCAGATTCAAAATGGAGAAAACTTTCCTTGATAGCTCCATCATAATAGTACCTGAGTATGAATGATATCTGCTCCTGTTTTGAAACATCTTTAGTCTCATCTGCCATGATGCTGAAATACTGACTGCTTTTCACTTCTTCAATGATTTCAGAGCGTACCATTTCTGCTCCTCCTTGAACCGTCACCTTATCGTGGTGGAGGAGTTTGAGTGCCCTAATGATCCTAGGAGCTATGTTGTCTGGGGCACTTAGTGCCCCTGGTAGGGTCTCCCATGACAAATTGGTCTTAGGTGAAGGGTGAGACAAAGAACGGTTCGAAGGATCTTTCATGGCGGTTAAAACGAAGAGTCGGAGTACCCGGCCCGGAGGGTTACCGGGGTCCCACCCTGGAGCCAGGCCTGGGGTTGGGGCCCGTGAGCGAGCGCCTGGTGGCCGGGCTTTCGCCCATGGGGCCCGGCCGGGCCCAGCCCGAACCGGATACATGGGCTCGTCCAACTGTGGACCCACCACCCGCAGGAGGAACATGAAGGGTCCGGTGCAATGCGAATCGGGTGGCAGACCAAGGCGGGAGCCTTGGCGGTCCAATCCCCGGACAAGAAAACTAGTTTTTGGGACATGGAACGTCACCTCGCTGGCGGGGAAGGAGCCGGAGCTTGTGGCAGAGGTTGAGCGGCCGGCAGGCAGCAAGGAGGAGCAGGCAGGGCAGGGTGAAGTTACAGCATAAAGGTAGCAGTGGATATAATGCTTTTTGGTTTACATGTTTCAATAGCATTAAGATAAACGAGCGTTGACGATCTTGACAGGGTTTCCTCTCCCCACCAGGATAAGCATCACTTATTCATGTAAAATTTATTTCATTTTTTCATGTTTGACTTTAACCGCATCGAATACTGTATTACGGCGTGAGCGCAACAGCGACAACTTAAGATCGATGTGTGAGCAGCCTGAGAGGTCGGGTGTTTTCATCTGAACCCTTAAAACCTCCAGCAGGCTACGCTGCACGATTGACGTGTTAGCGCGCGGCGCTAACAACTTAGCGACGTGACATGTCTTGGAGAAAGCGTAAAAACACGTTGAATGCTTCTTCTGAAGCAGGAAAATAACACCTCTTCAAGCAGAGCACGTCGCCTCAGCTCGTTCACGGCCGAGCCGGACTAAGCTCGATAACATTGACCCAGCACAGCCACTGGGTCTTTGGAGCTGCCCCGTGACTGCCTGATGGAAAACCAGCGGGTTTCATCAGACTTGTAAAGTTTGTTTTTGCTGGGGACCCCCTGTATTTTACCGCTCCCTCCTGCAGTCTTCCCCTATTAAAATTTAAAATGATTCTGTAAATTCCGTGTATCAATAGAAAAAATCTCTGCCTCTGCCAGCTGCAGTAAATGTAGTCTCCAAATAATAAATAAGAGGTGCATTCATCTGTGTATCTCCTTTGATCCGCATTAGGGATGTTTTCAGCACCAGAACAGTGAAGCAAAGAAACAGATTCCTGAGTTTGTTATAATTTTATTTATTAGGTGCATCTAACCTGTTCTATTTTTCTCTGAAATGAGATCAAATCAGTGGTTCTATGGGTTGTCTCCACTCTGCACTAGAAAATTTTACTTCATTTAGAGACGTGCAGAGAAAAAAAACCTAAAGGATGCAGAAAAAAGGATAAACCTCCAACCTTCATATTGTCAGCAATAAACGCAGCAAAACTTAACTTTCATGACCAAAAAAAAATAAATAAATAAATAAAAACCATAAAAATTATTCAGTACATCAGGAGAGCAGGAACAAGTCTTATTTCTGATTTTACATTTTTTACTTCAATTCAAACTATTTAAGACTTTTGTGTTTTCATCACATTTAGCTTGTATTTCATATAAAATATCATCAGCTTTACAGGTTAGCTGTTCCTGTGCGCTTAAAAAGTTATGCTACTAACCTTCTAAAAAAATTACCAAATCATTCACATGAAGTAGATTTGTTATTCAGTATCTGAAAGTATCTGATTAGTTTAAAAAACTTAATATGTTTTGTTTAATTTGGTTTTCAGAATGTCACTAGTTTACTTATACTTTTAATATATACTGATGTACTGAAATACAGAGAAATCAACTTGTGAGTACAATGCATGTTAATATAGTAAGTATAGCATGTTTAACATAAGCACATTCACAAGTGGAAAGTATCAATGTAAATAAATCATATCAAATCAAATCAAATTTTATTTGTAGAGCACCTTCCACAACGTTATCGGAAGCCCAAGGTGCTGAACAGCATCATCATAAGAAAAACATTCCCAGTGCATGGGCATAAAAGCAAGATAAAAACATAAAATCATAAAATATCAAGCAAACAATATTACAAATAAAGCGAGATAACGGAATAAGACTAATCGATCAAAAACAAATGGTGGACAAAATAAAATCAAGCATCTGGGTTAAAAAGAAGAAGAATTAAAACCATAATGTCAGGGCAATTCAAAGAACCCTAGCGCTAAAACGCAATCAAATAAAAATGAGTCTATAAATGAGACTTAAAGACTTGAAGGGATGGTAGTATGGCAGTAACTCTGCTGTACTTCATTGTGTAAAAGTAGCTCACGGGCCAAAATATGTTGGAGACCCCTACAATAGATCGCTCAGCCCTAGTGGATGCTTAGATGATTGTTTAAAGCTTTCTTTCAGCTAAATCTTCGTCCACAGAGCTCACAAGCAAAAGTATTCTGTCCTTTATGGACTCTTTTGTGACCGTTTAAACTGATCTTTTGGGTAAAACTTTTCAACCGAACTCACAGGCGAAAAGCCAGTGTGGACTCTCATGTGTCTGTTTAAATTTGTCTTTTGGCTAAATCTTTTTACACAGAGCTCACAAGCAAATGGTTTCTCTCCTGTGTGGCCTCTCATGTGGTTGTTTAAATTTGTCTTTTGGCTAAATCGTTGTCCACAGAGCTCACAAGCAAAAGATTTCTGTCCTGTGTGGACTCTCATGTGACTGTTTAAAGTTGACTTTAAGCTAAATTTCTTTCCACAAAGCTCACAAGGAAAGGGCTTCTCTCATGTGTGGACTTTAATGTGTTTGTTTAAACTTCCCTTTTCACTAAATCTATTACCACAGACCTCACAGACAAAAGATTTCTGTCCTGTGTGGACTCTCATGTGTCTGTTTAAAGTTGACTTTAAGCTAAATTTCTTTCCACAAAGCTCACAAGCAAAAGGCTTCTGTCCAGTGTGGACTCTCATGTGTTTGTTTAAAGTTGACTTTAAGCTAAATTTCTTTCCACAAAGCTCACAAGGAAAGGGCTTCTCTCCAGTGTGGACTCTCATGTGAATGTTTAACTGTGTCTTTCCGCTAAATCTCGTTCCACAGAGCTCACAAGCAAAAGGCTTCTCTCCTGTGTGGACTCTCATGTGACTGTTTAAATGTGTCTTTAGGCTAAATCTCGTTCCACAGAGCTCACAAGCAAAAGGCTTCTCTCCTGTGTGGACTCTCATGTGACTGTTTAAATGTGACTTTCGGCTAAATCTCGTTCTACAGAGCTCACAGGCGAAAGGCTTCTCTCCAGTGTGGACTTTCATGTGAATGTTTAAATTTATCTTTAAGCTAAATTTCTTTCCACAAAGCTCACAAGGAAAGGGCTTCTCTCCAGTGTGGACTCTCATGTGTGTGTTTAAACTTCCCTTTTCACTAAATCTATTACCACAGAGCTCACAGGCAAAAGGCTTCTCTCCAGTGTGGACTCTCATGTGTGTGTTTAAATTTCCCTTTTCACTAAATCTATTACCACAGAGCTCACAGGCGAAAGGCTTCTCTCCTGTGTGGACTTTCATGTGACTGTTTAAAGTTGTCTGACGGCTAAATCTCGTTCCACAGAGCGCACAAGGAAAGGGCTTATCTCCTGTGTGGACTCTCATGTGACTGTTTAAAGTTGACTTTTGGCTAAAGCTCGTTCCACAGAGCTCACAAGGAAAGGGCTTATCTCCTGTGTGGACGCTCATGTGTGTGTTTAAATGTGTCTTTCGACTAAATCTCGTTCCACAGAGCTCACAAGGAAAGGGCTTATCTCCTGTGTGGACTGTCATGTGACTGTTTAAATGTGTCTTTCGGCTAAATCTCGTTCCACAGAGCTCACAAGGAAAGGGCTTATCTCCTGTGTGGACGCTCATGTGTGTGTTTAAATGTGTCTTTCGGCTAAATCTCGTTCCACAGAGCTCACAAGGAAAGGGCTTATCTCCTGTGTGGACGCTCATGTGTGTGTTTAAATGTGTCTTTCGGCTAAATCTCGTTCCACAGATTTCACAAGCAAAAGGCTTCTCTCCTGTGTGGACGCTCATGTGTGTGGTTAAATTAGTCTTTTGGTGAAACCTTTGTCCACAGTGCTCACAGACAAAATGTTTCTGCTTTGTCTGGACTCTCGTGTGTTTTTTTAAATGTGTTTTTTGGCTAAAGGATTGAAACCTGGCAGCATCAGTCTCCTTATTCAAATGGAGATGCTCTTCCTCCATACTAGACCAGAGTTTCTCCTGTTCCTCCTTTATGTGGAGAAAATCTAGGTGCTGGTGGTTGACACGAGCACTCTGTTCTTCTGAAGCTTCTTATTTAACCAGAACCATCTGTTGAAAAACTGTAGGAAACACAGAAACATATTATGTGAATTACAGACAGCTGTAACTTTGTTTTCACACATATAACAGTTGTATTATTTCTTTAAACTGACAGGAGAATGAAATGTATTTACAACTGGAAACTGAACTTGAGCCTCTATAAATCATATGTGCCTTAACCCTCAGGCTTCACTTTAATTTTCATAAAAGAGTCATTAGAGGACAAAAACGTCCGCTTGTAAAACTGGCTGTAAAAAATGTATATATTAATGTTTTTTAACTTTTTTTTCATAGACCTGTTGAACAAATTCAGCCCTGCTCAAACATAAAAATACTCAATCATTTTGAGGCTTTTAACCCCTGAAATGCCAGTTTGAATACTCAAAAGTCATTGATGTAATTTATGAAGAAAAAAAAACCCAGCACCGAGTTATTTAAAAAAAAAAAAACAGGTAACGAAACCGTTTCTGTGTTTTAAAAAGAACGACAGCATGGAATTAGCCTTGTATATGTCAAGAGTCTAGCAAAATATCACATTTTATGCTTTTTTAGTTTTTGTGTAGCAGCAGACTTAAAATTTACCACCCTCTTGTGCCTGTTATGGACAAAAAAGTCCCATTGACTTCAATGCAAACCACAGTTTTTGATCCTGCATTATCTGCAGCAAATATTCATGCTTTCTGTGATGTAATGGTTTCATTTTGGACTAAAGTAGTCAAATTTATGATTTTTACTGTTCACCACCAAATTCAGTCATTTCTTCATATGTTGCCCAGGCGAGAAAGTTTACACATTTCTATAGATCTTCTGCTGTTTTTATTGAAGTCAGAAGCTCAGCATGTAAACAAAACACAGTTTCACTCTCCTACTGAACATCAAAGGGTAGAAAACAAAAACAATATGTTAATGCACCTGGCTGGAGCTCAGGCACATCCAAACTCTTTGTAGTTCAGTTTGTTTATGAAAGGGCAGAAGTGTGAATGCATGCATGTGAAGTGACTCCTTGGAGCTCTTCGGTCATCTGCAAAATGACACGTTTTCCCTGGCTGACCTCTGCAGCCTCACCAGCAGCTTTCCCTGTGTTAACCTGACACTTGCAGGCATAGGAAGTGGCAACATCAGCAGTGACCCAGAGTTTCAATCCGTACTTTGCTGGTTTACTTGGCATATGTTGGCGAAACTTGCACCTGCCTCTGAAAGGGACAAGCTGCTCATCAGCACACACATCTAACCCAGTGTTGAAAAGCATTTGGAGGCGATGGGTCCACATGTCCCAAATCGAGCGGATAGGGGCCAGCTTGTCCTGCCTGAGACGAGAAGGCCTGTTCAGCTCATCATCAAACCGGAGGGTGGAGTTGATCATCTTGAATTTGGTGTGACTCATGGTGGCCAGGAAGATTGCACGTCCACAGTGGTCATCCCAAAGGCTGCAGGTGGATTCCCCTTTGGACTGGTACACACCAGCCAAAATCAGGAGCCCAATGTATGCTCTCACTGCGATGTCATCAATATCCCACCAGTTCTTCACCACACGTCTTCCATTTAGATTTGTCATGTTGACGATGATTTCAGTCAATTCTGGAGTAAAGAATAAATCAAAGGAGGATACCACATCGTAAATACGTGTGATGGTGTAACATGTTGGCCCAGGATTCAAACATCTTGCAGCAGGAACATAGTGGGAAGTTTCTGCGTTAGTAGGAAACCAGACTTGCCCACTTTTAGAAATCCATCCTGGAGCAGGATCCATTGTCCTCCCTTCTCTTTCACTGGACAGGTCAGGAGAAGAAGTCAAGGAAACAGAATGGTCTGACTCCACCTCAAAGTCCACTGAAGATGTTTCACTCTCCTCATTTTCTCCAGGAGTATCAGGCTGCAGGAGCTGATCCAGAACTTGTTCCACAGAGAGATGCCTCTTCATTTAGCTCCGTGGCTTTCACAGAAGTGAAATGACCAGATAACCAGACTACAAGGAGTTTGAATGTGGCAGGTGCATAAACATACTAATTGTTTTTGTTTTCTACACTTTGAAGTTCAGTAGGAGAGTCAAACTGTGTTTTATTTACTTATCAGAGGTCAGGTTGGCCTTTTGACTTCAATAAAAACAGCAGAAGATCTAAAGAAATGTGTAAACTTTCTCGCCTGGGCAACATATGGAGACATGACTGAATTCTACTTTTGTCCAAAATGAAACCATAACATCACAGAAAGCATGATTATTTGTTGCAGATGATACAGGATCAAAAACTGTGGTTTGCATTAAAGTCAATGGGACGTTTTTGTCCTCTAATGGCTCGAGTGTATAGTAAATTTTAAATCTGTTGCTATGTAAAAACTATAAATGCAAAAAATTCTAAAGTTTAGATATTTCATAACATAATCAAGACTGATTTGTACTAAACACCCCAGGCAAAAAAAAAAAAAGACTTTTCTAGAAAATAACTCAGTTTTAGTGTTTTTTTCATGAATCGGGGTGATGTGGGTGTGTTTGGAGGACTTGGTCAGAAGCCGAGCACAGGCGTTCTGAACCACCTGTAGACGGTTCAGGGAGGTTCTGCTCAGACACGTGAAAAGAGAGTTACAGTAGTCTAAGCGTGAGGAGATGAAGGTGTGGAGAACTGTCTCAAGTTCAGAGCGGGACAGAATGGGACTCAGCTGTAAGGGAAAAATGAGGTTCTTACATTTTAATTAATGAGCCGTAAGGCGTGGGATTCCATAGGAAATATGAAATCCGCCTCATGGATCGGGGTTGGTTAAACCAGAAGATCGGGTCTTTTTAATGCAGAGATCATGTAACCATTATGTATTCACTCAGAGACAACAGAATAGAACGAGTCAAGTTTAAAAGTTAAGAAATTTTATCACTAATAATTAAACTAGGCTTATTTAAGAACTAAGTGTATAGTGCGACTAAAAATGGATGAGGCGGTGAATGGATGACGTGTCATGTAAATCAGAACCTGCAAATCCGAAGAAGCGATTAGTTCTGACGGGAACTGAAGATGTTGGTTTGGAATAAGCTGGGGTTCGTTTCAGAACTGCATGAGACACCATTAAGCCACGCCTACCTGCCTGGTGGAAGTCCTCTGTAAGATCAGGAATGCCGAGGTCCACCCGGACCCTCTCTGGACACCGAGCTGGTAGCAGAGCTGCGGTTCCGACTAGGGATGGGGCAGATCCGATCCAGTATCGGAATCGGGCTCCGATTTGGACTTAAATCACGGATCGGAAAATTCCGACCCAACCTGCACAAATTTCCGAACCAGAATTATCTCTTGTGTAATGTCTAAATAAGACATCCCGGGCTGGGAGGCGCTCTCTGTGCCCCGAAGGCACAGAGAGATGACGCGGCTCCTTTCAGGAAGTCCACTCACCGCAGTTTACAGGTAGCTGGCTAGCATGAGCAGCGCCAAACTTTTATCCACAAAATGTCCGCTGTGTGGAAATATTTTACTCTGGAAGCTCCGCAAAGCAAGACAGCAACGTGCAATGTTTACAAAGCTGTTGTTCCAAGAGGTGGAACCTCCATCGCAACTTTCAACAATAATAATTTTATCAAACATTTGAAAAAACACCACCCGAGGGAGCACGAGGAGTTTTTAACGAGGGGGCAGAAAGGAGAAAAGCGACACCAAGAATCACTACTGGAGTCATTCAAGAAGCAAAGAAAACTCCCCGCAGACAACGTTAAAGCCATGGGGATTACAGAAAAGCTGCTCAACTTCATTGTACTTGATGGCCAACCGCTATCAGTGGTGGAAAATGAGGGATTTCGCAGCCTGATTGAATGAACACTTGGAGCCAAGGTACAGTTTACCCTCCAGGACATATTTATCAGAGACAGCGCTACCTGAACTATACAACCGAGTGTCAGCCAAGTTAGCCGGGAAGCTGAAAGGAGTTCCAGCCCTGAGCTTCACTACAGATATTTGGACTTCAGATCTCTGCCCAATGTCACTGATAAGTCTTACAGTGCACTGGGTTGACTCCGGGACACATCACTTCTGTTGCGTGGTGCTTCAGGTCAAAAAGTGCGGGGTTCACACAACCGAGCTACAATCGCAGCCGCCATTGCCGAGATGCTAAATAACTGGGGGATTCCTCTGGAAAAGGTGCACGTCATTCTACGGGACAACGCAAGTAACGTGAAAGCCGCTTTGGAAGACATGGCAGTTCCTAGCCTGGGATGTTTTGCTCACATGCTGCAGCTTGTAGTGCATGAAGAGCTGATGTCGCAACGCAGTGTTAGCGATGCATTAGCAAACAGCCGAAAGATTGTCGCACATTTCAAGTAGGGCTGCAGCTATCGAATATTTTTGTAATCGAGTACTCTGTCGAATCTTTTTTTCGATTAATCGAGTACTCTAATAAATTACCCTTTTGTGTTTGTAAACCATTATATCATATATTGATGAGCCAAGATGGCGCCGAGTATGGCTGCCTCGTCGCGAGCTCCACCAAGTTCCAACATTACACACTCCATACTGTACATTAATGCCACTGTTTTGCACATACCAACCTCTGTACATTTTATATCTCTTATCTTATTGTTTACTTTATTCATTTGTATACTTAGATTAGCCATTTTTATATTTTACTTGTTTTTACATTACTGTATTTTTGCACAACTCTGTTGCTGTGAAGCTCGCACACAAGAATTTCACTCGCATGTACTGTACCAGTGTACCTGCACATGTGACGTGAAAATAAAAGTGATTTGATTTGATATCAAATAGCATGTTATAATTATGAAAGACCTCTTAAAATGAGAAAGCAATTGCCAGTTATTCAAGTTTTATTCAAAATTAGTTTGCATAACTTCAGCACTTCAACTTTACTTCACAGTAAACAAATGCCTGTGCAAAAAATAAGTAAACAACCTGAGCCGATTTTCCCCTCGTGTGAGAATCTGCTAGCCTGCAAGCCAGACAGAAACTAGGAGGATAACGCTGGGAGCGGCTGCGGCCCAAACAGAACCAGAACCGCTCACGGCGCAAACA